TGGAACAGAAAGGAGATTAACGGTTGCCTGGGGCTGTGAAGTTGAGGTGAAATGGAGAGTAACTGCTAATGGGTTAAATGGGTGAATTGTATGGTATGTAAATTATATTTCAGTAATACTGTTACATATATATTTTTAAAGGCTTGAGACAGGAAAGGGCTTACTTTGAGGAAATAAATGGTGCCTAAAATGGCTGAAGCTTGGAGTGAGGGAGGAGGGCATCTTAAAATGAGTTTGGAAGAAAGAATGATGAGCTTGGAGGAAAAACAGAATCTGATCTTGCTGGACTTTAGCTTCTGGTGAGGATTTTGAACTTGCTCCAAGAGCAAGAGGAAATCTTTGAAGCTTTAAAGCAGGTCAAGTGATCAGACTTATGTTTTTGAGAGAACTCTGGCTGCTGTTTGGAGCAGAGTGAGAAGTGGATTGCCCAGTTAGGGCAGTAGTCTAGGTAGGAGATAAAGGTGGTTAGGATAGGGTGATGGCAATGAAGTTGCAGAGAAGTGAGCAAATTTAACATATTTTCAGGAAAATCAACAGTAGAATTTAACAGATGGCATCAAGTTGATGAACCAAATGTGGAGACTAAACAAAAAGATAGAAATGATGTTCAGGTTCTGGATTAAGCAAGTGGATTAAATAGGTTTAAGGTAGATAACAAGAGTTCTACTGTAAGCACGTTAAGTTTGTGATACCTACTGTGAAGTTTTAATATTCTTAATACAAAATAAGATCACTTTTTATTACATAAGAGTTTTGTGTAATAAAAAGGATTCTGCTGTCCTGAGGGATTTGAAACCTTTTCCTATAGTTCAATCTTTGATTATACAAATGGGACAAATGAAAATGAAATGTCTTACCCAAGGTCATTTGCTGTAGCCTGTACTGGAATTTATCATACTCCCAGGGAACTGTTTTTTCAGAACAAAAGCTTTGTTTTGAATAGGAACTGAAAGTAGCTTCCAGAGAACCAGATTATTGGTAGAAAGTTGAATGGCCAGTTATAGCAGTTGAGAAATCTTTCTCTTGCTTCTATTGAAATATTGACTGTAAATGTTTTATGTGGAAATATCGGACTTCTAAGGCAGATTTATACATTCTGTATAGAAGATTTAATTTTTGGTAAGTAATGTGGCTTTCTTAAAACATTTTGATCTTGGGGACTATTTCCCTTAAAGAAAAGATACATGTCAGAGAGATGCTAGATGGGAAATCAGGACTTCTCATGGGGCACCCTTTAGTTGCAGCCTCTTAGAGTTTCCGTTTCAGTAATACATGTGCAAGAACTAAAATGTTACACTTTGCTGGGAATGATTTTGTCTTGAGGTTGATTTTATGCCACCAAATGAGTGCATGAATACCAACGTGACAAGTATTCACTGGACAAATTAGAACACCAATGTTTTAACTGGATGCTTGTAGAAATAGAATTTCAGTGGTTGATTATTTGTGTACGAGTTCACAAGTTACCCCTTCACAATAGCAAAGAGCCCAATTTATTAATAGGGTAGTCTTTCAGGAGGTTATAATCAGAGCAGAGGGAAATAGATGGTTTTCATGCTCTTGAAATGTCAGATGAACGATTCTGTCCTGCAGAGGAGTAATTACCTGGTGTTTCTATGTAAGAATTGCTCTGCTCTGAGTAAACAGAAGTTCTTACTCTGCAGTTCTGTCTTTGAAATGCTTCCTGCAGACAGCTCCTTGTTTCCTCCAATACTTTAGGCAGTCATGGTACAGTAAAGCTGATTAGATCATAGATGTTATACTGCAGTCCTGAGGGTATACTTTCCTTAACTTGATTAACTTGATCTTTCCCAAGCCTCTACACACTTCATACCATCCCTTTCTCAATGCTGTCTGCTGAAGACCAATAACATCCGCTTCTTGGCCTTTTGGCTAAGATCAAGTGAAGACCAATAACATCCATCTCAGTGATTTTTTTTTTTTTAAGATCGATTTATTTATCTCAAAGGCAGAGCTACAGTGAGAGGGAGAGGCAGAGAGAGATCTTCCATCCACTGGTTCACTTCCCAAATGACCACAGGCCGATGCCAGTAGCCCAGAGCCTCTTCCAGGTCTCCCATGTAGGTTAAGGGGCCCAAGGACTTGGGCTATCCTCTTCTGCTTTCCCAGCCACATTAGCAGGGAGCTGGTTCAGAAATGGAGCAGCTGTTTCTTGAACCAGCACCCATGTGGGATGCCAGCATTGCAGGTGACAGTTTTACCAGCTATGTCACAGCATCAACCCTAGTGATTCTTAAACTTTAGCATAGGAGTCATTTGATAAATATGTGAAAAGTGCAGATTTTTCAAGCCTGACCTCCACAGATTAGTAGATCTTGGAATTGCTATCTGAAACCTATATTCTTAATTCTTACCTACAATTAGAGAAACATCATTTATGCATTCATTCTTAGCCATTTTATTTCCAAGGGCAGCTTTCTTGTTAAAAGTATATAGTACACTGATTACTACTAAGACATCTTTCATTTGAAGACCTTGGGAAATTTCTTAACTACCCATAGCCAATTTTCAAAACTGTCCATATTTTGGTCCCAGCACTATAGCATAGTGGGTTAAGCATCTGCCAGTGGCACTAGCATCCCATTTGGGCTCTGGTTCAAGTCCCAGCTGCTCCACTTCACATCCAGCTCTCTGCTGATGGCTTGGGAAAGCATTGAAAGATGGCCCAAGTACTTGTGCCCCTGTACCCATGTGGGAGACCCAGATGAAATTCCTGGCTCCTGATTTTGGTCCAGCCTTGGCCATTGGGGACATGTGGGGAGTAAACCAGAGAATGGAAGATCTCTCTCTCTCTCTCTCGCTTTCTATAACTCTGCCTTAAATATATACATTTGAGATTTATTTATTTATTTATATATAAAATATAATGCTTGATCTAATAAAAGCAATAGGAAAGGTGTCTCTTGCCTTTCTCACTGCTGTGTACTGTGTTCTAGCACATACCTGCAGTAGTCTGTCCTTGTACATGTTTTCCTTCCCTGATGCTGCCTCATATTTAACATTTTTAAGAAGATTTATTTATTTATTTGTAAATCTGAGTTATATTTAGAGAGAAAGAGAGACAGAGAGAGGTTTTTCATCTACTGGTTTACTCCCTAAATGGCCACAATAATCAGAGCTGGGTCAGGCAGAAGCCAAGAGCCTGAAATTTCGTCCATGTCTCTTACATGGTTGGCAGGAACCTAAGCACTTGGGACATCCTCTGCTGCTTTCCCAGGCACATTAACAGGGAGCTGGATCAGAAGTGGAGTAGCCAGGACTTGAACCAGCACCCGTATAGGATGGTCAACATGCTCAACCCAGTGTGCCACAAGAAGGTCCCTGAATTTAACATTTTTGAGTGCCTTTATGTGCCCTAATTAGGATAGGAAAAGAAAGTGGTGAACAAGAGTAAGTTGGTCTCTGTACTAATCGAGCTTACAATTTAATGGTGTTGAGAAAGGAGATACCCAGTGTAACCCCACATAAATAGTATAATGGTAATTAGGGAAAGTGTTAAGGAGGAGTATAGGGTCCTGTGCATGGGTGGAAAAAGAGACCTACCCTAATCTAAAGGCTCAAGAAAATTCCACCTAACAAAATGACTTTTAAGCTGAGACTCAAAGAATTAGTAGTAGTTAATTAGGAAAGTGGAATGGGTTTTTGTTTTTGGTTGAAGGAACACCTTGCGCCTTAGGACCCTTGGAAAGAAGACTAATCAGGAAACAGAAAGGAAATTCTGTGGTTGGAGATTAGTGAACAGGAGGGAGGGAAAGCCGCTAAAATGTAGATGTATGCAATGTTCACAGCAGTGTTTCTGTACTTTCATCAAGGGTTTTTAAAATTGGGAATGAGGGGTGTGGTTACATGTTCAGATTAATGTTTGAAAATGACAACTTTGTTTTGTGGGCACAGCATTGAGGAAGTATAGAATAGAAGTCTGTAGACAAAAGAAGCTATGGTAAACACTCATTAGACTGAGCAGAGGAGAGGTGATGGTGGTCTGGACCTGAGGGTGTTTAGGACTAGATTTGAGAGAACCAGGTGGAAGATTTATTTTGGAGCTTGAATTACTAGGACTTAATGAGGGATGGACTTGACAATGGCATATTAGAGAGAAGGAGACATCAGGTGATTTTTAGATTTTTGGGATGAATCTGGTCTGCATAATAAACGTTTTTATTGAGACTTTTAGGGAATGCTGGAAAAGGAATAGGTTTTGAAGAAAACATCAAGAGCTGTTGTGAAAGCATTTTCTCTGTGGATTCTTGTTCTTTACCCTGGAAACCCTCACTGCCACAAGATTCTCTTCCAAATGCTCTCCTGTACAATTGTTCTCCAGGTCTTTTCCTTTTCTCTCCAGGAGGGCAGTCCGCTGTGCTCTTGGGTTGCATGGTGCAGCCTTGTCTTGGTACTTACCTCTTTATTTTTTATAATTGCACCCTTGCCCATCACCCTCACCAGGCTGGCATTCCTCTAGCGGAGATGCATCTTGTCTGTGGATATCCGTGGAATATGAATAAATATTTCCTGAGATGTTTTCTACTGTGTTTTGTGTGTTAAATCTTCCTTTCCCTTAAATTTGGGTAATGTTGGAGTAAGTTAATATTTCTTTGCTGCAGAACTTTTCAGTCTTTTTATTTTCTAATGAGGACCAAACTCTAGGAAGGGCATGAAATATGCAGTGTTTTCCCAAGTGATTGTGTTTTTCCCTCCCCTCCACCAGCTTCTGTTTTTTGAGCACCTCATGTGTCTAGTCTTAAAGGTGAGAAGTGGGAGTAGGAACGTTCTTTGGGAATAATGTAGATGTGGGTGTGTGCCTGACACTGAGTAAGCATGTGATCCAGCCGGTGTGGACAATGTGGAATTTAACCTGTCAGTTGTGGGAGAGTATCTCTGAATGTCTTTGGGAAGTTCATTTTGCCTCTAGTTGCTACAGATCTATTTCTTTTACCCTCAGTGATAAAAACAAATATCAGGGGATGAGAATTTACCATCATTTGTTCCTGCCAAGCTAAAAAAGATAGGTGACACATTTTGTTCTGTTTCATTGTAGCTAAGCTGGGAAGAGCTGAACAAAAAATTCTTCAGTCCTTTTATTTATTAACTCCCAACATCAAAACAGTTCCTTTCTTACACCACCTGGGTTGTTCATAAAATAAACAGAGTTATATTAGTAACTATTTTTTTTTGGTAAAAGAAATGAATGGTTAGTATTTTTTCTAGGGCTATTTATATCCTATTTTAGAGTTGGCTGTTGTGACCAAAACAGGTTTCAGGGAACTATGGACAAGCTAGACGAAATGGGGAAGACTGTTCTTTATTTTTGAAGAATGTATTAATTTATTTTAGATGGGGATTTTTCTTTTTTTCAAAAAGATAGAAGCTACAGGCAGTTTATTTTTTTAGAGTGGAATCTAGTGGAAAGTTTTACCAGGAACTAACTCACAGACTCAAACAGGAAATACATTGGTTTTTAAACAAACATAATGCCAAATGGCATTATTGTATTATATTTATTAACAGACTGTTACTGCTGATGCCTTTCTTACAGTGTGTGGAAAGGGTAGTTGCCTTTTCTCTGTAACATTATTTGTAGAGTTAACAATGAAAATAACTCTAGTCTTGGCCTCTAGTCTTGAAAATAACTCCAGCCCTGGCCATTGCGACCACTTGGAGAGTGAACCAGTGGATAGACGATCTTACTCTCTGTCTCTCCCTCTCTGTGTAACTCTGACTTTCAAATCAAGAAATAAATCTTAAAAACACCGCCATCAACAACACACAGCACCATTCAGCTGTGGTTCGTGGCTGAGAGAGGCAAAGCCGGGGACAGAGAAGCCCTGTCCCCCATGCTGTCGGGCGTCTGTCTGTCTGTCTGTCTGGGACCGTGGGACAGAGGCTGTGTCTGCAGGAATCAGCCGAGCACGTGACAGAGGAGGGCGTGGTGCACACACCTGCACCATCTGGGGACGCCTCCCGGCTTCCATGCTGTGCCCCGTGCCCTGCTGCCCGCACAGAGAGACAGACAGAGGGAGACCCACCTACACCAGACAGTGAGGGATGGCAATGCAAGACAGAGACCCTGAGGGTGTCTCCTCCAAGGGGCGGACACTGGAGCTGGGGTCTCAGGGGCATAGAGACCACAGGAAGAGCACACCGGAGAGCTGGACTCTCAGCTGCCCGGGAGATGGGACTGGCTCAGGCCGGGGCACTGGGAACCGGGCATGAGAAGGGCGAGAGGCAGTTGCTGACGCAGGGCAGGCCCGGTCATCGGCGTGTGGTGGGCTGCAGGAAGAGCTTGATCTAGGAGCCACAGGAAGCCATTAGCAGGCAACAGTGTCACAGGCTGGAGGGCAGCCTGAGAGGGTTGTTCTGGGGCTGAACGCACAGGGTGGCGGTGGCCGGGCTCGGCGTGACCAGCAGGGTGGGGGAGAGAAGCTGAGAATGTGGAATGCCAGCAGCAGGCATGCCGGGACACCTTCCAGGCCCTGGGCCCTTCCTGTCAAAGCCTGGGCTTTGTCCCAAACACACACACAGGCCAGGGCTGTGGCTGCGCTTGGGCCCGCCCATGCACAGGCCCCAGGCAAGGAGCGGGGAGCCTGGGCTGCCTCTTGCTTCCTGCCCACGTCCATCCCTGGACCGGGCCGGTGGGAAGCGGGAGAACGTCCCGTTGCATCAGGAACCGTGCTGCTAAAAGTAAGACGACCTGCACGCGGGGGCCACCTCAGACGCGACACGTTTGTAGTGGTGTCTTGTAGAAAGTTCCAGAAGCCCCGGCCTGCTGGAAAACTGACGCCACCCCCTCCTCGCGCCCTCCTTGGCTGACGGCGCCCCCACCGGGCACCTGCTGCGGGCTTCCTGTCTTGGGGGGGCCCTCCCCCGCGGCCGCACTCACTGCTCACACGTCATCGGGCAGGTCCTCGTCCGGCTCGCCCTTGACCATCTTCTCCAGGGTGTTGATGGAGATCTCCAGCAGCTTCTCATGGTGGTGGTTCTCCAGGTCCCGACACTGCGCCATCGTCCCGCCGGGAGTCAAGCAAAGGTCCCAGGACAGCTGGCCGGGGCTGCCCTGTGCCCCTGGGGTGGCGGCCGGGGCGGGGGTAGGGGCTCTAGCAGGTGCATGGCAGGCCGAGTGGCTCAGCCAGGGCCAGGCTGCCAGGGCCAAAGGTGGCTTCATCGCCTTCACTGCCCACAGGGTAGGAGGAGCTTAGGGGGCTGAGTGGGAGGTGCCTAGGACACTGGGTAGGAGGAGCTTAGGGCATGGGTGGGAGGTGCCTAGGACACTGGGTAGGAGGAGCTTAGGGGGCTGAGTGGGAGGTGCCTAGGGGACTGAGTGGGAGGAGCTTAGGGCACTGAGTGGAAGGTCTCTAAGACACTGGGTGGGAGGTACCTAGGGCACTGGGTGGGATGTCGCTAAGACACTGGGTGGGAGGTACCTAGGGCACTGAGTGGGAGGAGCTTAGGGCATTGGGTGGGAGGTGCCTAAACACTGGGTAGGAGGAGCTTAGGACACTGAGTGGAAGGTCTCTAAGACACTGGGTGGGAGGTGCCTAGGGCACTGAGTGGGAGGAGCTTAGGATACTGAGTGGGAGGTCTCTAAGACACTGGGTGGAAGGTACTTAGGGCACTGAGTGGGAGGAGCTTAGGGCATTGGGTGGGAGGTGCCTAAGATACTGATTGGGAGGAGCTTAGGGCACTGGGTGGGAGGGGTGAGGGCATGACCCTGCAGACGCTGCCGGCAAGGGGTCCTTGCTGGGTTTGCTTCACCCTTCCTGGCCTCCTGTTAAACCCCTCGCTCCCCCTGGAGGCCAGGGCAGCCCTCCCTACCCTGGGCCGCAGCAGCTAGGATATAGGCTTTGCACGTTCTCAATGAAGAGCCCCACCAGGTCGACAATGTTCCTCTCAAACATGCTTATGGTCTCCTGGAAATGAGAACGCACAGTCACCGTGCGTCTTCAGACGCCCAGCACCACGGCATAAACACCCTAGGGACCGAGCAGCCATCTGCCCGCTCACACACCAGCCACCGTGCCCTCTCAGGCCCGACTCACTCACCGCCAGCACCCTCCGAAGTGTCATGTCGGTGCCCTGTGCCGGGCCCACCTGTCACAGCCTGACTCCTCTCAACCCCCCCCCCCCACCACCACACACACACTCAACAGACAAACGCTGGAGGCAGCCCTCAGGGGCCGCGTCCCAGCTCCACCACTGTGTGTGACTCTGGGAAAGTCACCTGACCTCCCCGAGCCTCGACTTCCTCATCTGTGAAATGGGTTTCCCACAGAATGCTTTGCAGGCTGCTGAGCAGAGTGGGCCCCCCACGCCCGCCATGAGCTCTCCCCATCAGTGTTGCTTCCTGCGCTTAGAAGGGCACAGAGGCCTACGTGGGGACTTTGCTGGCTCCCTCTGGAGCGCGGACACCCCCCCCCCCTGCCCCGCCTGATCCGCGGTGGGCCGCAGCTGGTGCAGGTGCACAGGGGAGGGGGGAGGGGGCCGAGCGCGGGTCTGCAGGCCCAGCCGCTTCCTGGTAACACAAATAGGGCAGTGCCTGGGCTCCGGGAGACACGTGGATGTTGGAACGTGGTCTCCCTGCCTGGACTGCGTGGGAGAGCCGCGGCCCAGCCCTCCCCAGGGCCGCCAGCCGGCCAGCGCTCAGCTGCCTTTGCAAGTCCCCAGCGGGGGGGCGAGCCAGCCTCTGCCTGGGACGGGAAGGGGGGAATCCATCCCCCAGCGGCGGAGGAATCACTTGAGTATCGATTCGGCGCTACCTCTTGGCCCAGCCGTGGCAGCCCCTAATGAGGTTCCAGTCATTGTCACATCCCTTCCCACTCCGGGCCCGCGCTCCTCCTCCCGGGGAACACGCGAGGCTCGCCCGGCTGCTCCAGCAGCCATCCGGGTATCATTTCTACCGCGTGCTGAGCGGCAGGTGCTTCGGTCTGGTCCCCAAGCTGCGTGCGCGCGCGTGAGTGGGGGTGGGGTGGCCCGCCTGGTCTCGTGGGCACCCGGCCCCGCTCCTGAGGTCGCATCAGAAACCCTTCCCCACGGAGGAGGCTCGGGGCTCTCCCAGGATGTGGGGGAGAAGGTGATGTGGGAAGGGGCTCACTCTTCAGTTCCCCTGCAAGGACCCCTTCCCGTCTGAGTTTTTTAAATGGATGAAAAGCAGACGCCGGGCTGGCAGGCGCCGAGTGTGCAACAGGGGCGCGCGCCCAGGGTGGGTGGGTGGTCTGCGGGTCACAGGTGCGCGCGCAGCTGCGGGACCAGGTGGCACCTGCGCCCGCCCATCCCCCCGGCCCGCCTCACCTCCAGCTGCTCCGCCAGCTGCATCTCCAGGGTCATGAGCGCGTTGAACAGCTCGGTGATGTCCTGGTCGCACTCCGCGATCCTCTCCGCGGTGGGCAGCTCTGATGCCTCGCGGATGTTGCTTAGGCTCTGCGGGACAAAGCCAGGGCTTGAGCCAGCCGCGCGGGAGAGCTGAGGTTCCCCCCCGGCAGGTGCCAGCCTTGCGAGCTTGCAGAAGCCACCGGCCCTCTCCTGCCTCAGTTTCCCTGTCTGTAAAAGGGGAATGCTGAAGCACAGGCTCACGGGCACCAACCGGGGCTCGCCGCTGCTCGCGTGGGTTTCTGTCCCTGCGAGCAGGGCCAGGTGGAAGGTGCCGGGGCTCGGGGGGCTTCTGAGCGCAACCCCCTACGCCACACCACTTTGCCATGTGGATCGCTTTTGAGCCGAAGACACTTGAAGACTGCAGCTGCAAGAAGTCATCTGTCTCCTCCACTTTTTTACCTTGAAAGAGCAGGTGAGACGTGCCCTTTCCTGTGCCCCCCCCCGCCCGGAAGAAGCCATTGCTGTCCGCAGCAACCAGAGCTTGGAGGCGGGGGGCCAAGGGACCACTGCGCACGTGAGCCTTCTCTGTCTGTTGGTCCTGCGCCGCCGTGCCCTGCCCTGGTCTAACCACACTGTTTTGGTCGTTTTCACTGTTTTGGTCATTTTCACAGGGTGCGGCTCTTTGTCCAATTTTGTGCTAAGATTCCAGCCCCAGCTGTGTCTTTGGGTCTTCTCGTTACTCTGGTGCGTAATATAGAGATCACTAAATAATATGTACATGTGCACATCATGGAATAAAATGTGTATGCTTTTCCCCTCTTCATCTGTCTCGTGCAGGTTGCCATTTTTTTTTTATTTTTTTATTTTTTTATTTTTTTGGACAGGCAGAGTTAGACAGTGAGAGAGAGAGACAGAGAGAAAGGTCTTCCTTCTGCTGGTTCACCCCCCAAATGGCCGCCATGGCCAGTGCTGCGCCGACCAGAAGCCAGGAGCCAGGTGCTTCTCCTGGTCTCCCATGGGGTGCAGGGCCCAAGCACTTGGGCCATCCTCCACTGCACTCCCTGGCCACAGCAGAGAGCTGGCCTGGAAGAGGAGCAACCGGGACAGAATCTGGCACCCCGACTGGGACTAGAACCCGGTGTGCCAGCGCCGCAGGTGGAGGATTAGCCTAGTGAGCCGCGGCACCGGCCAGATTGCATTTTTTAAAAAAATGTATTTGCTTTTATTTACTTGAGGGAGACACACACAGAGAGAGACAGAGAGAGAGAGAGAGAGAGAGAGAGAGAGGGAATCTTCCATCCACTGGTGCACTCCCTAAATGCCCCCAACAGCCCTGGCTGGACCAGGCTGATGGCACGAGCCTGCAGTGCCATCCAGGTCTCCCACACGGGTGACGGGGACGCCGGCACTTGAGCCATCAGCTGCTGCTGACTCCCAAGGTGAGCACAAGCAGGAACTGGACTGGAAGTGAAGTAGCTGGGACTCGAACCAGGTACCCTGATACGTGATAGCCTGACTCCAGCGGTGACTTAACCTGCTACTAACATGACACCTGGTCCTCAAGGTATTTCATTCTTGGTCCTGGTCAGAGACCCCTCCCCCCAAAGAGGGCAGACAAGCAATTTTGTCTGTCCTGTAATATCGGAGTCAGGTGGAGCCGAGCCCACGATGTGCAGTGTAAGCTTGGCACGGCCGCTTAGCGTCTCCCAGGCTTCCTGCGCTCACAGGGTCCTGGGGACCATGGGCCTTGTGCGGGAGGCCTGGCACACACCGTGGGCTCCAGGGGCTCCTATAGCAGGCACAGGTCAGGAGAGGTGCTGGACAGGGAAGAGGCAGCCGCACCCACAGGGAACCCCAGGGGGCAAGTGGGAGACGTGGATCCTGGACCCGTCTGGAGGGAGAGGGTGCTCTTGCGGGGGGAGAGAACGAGCCAGGCTGAGGGTGGCACTGAATGCCAGCTGTCACCAGGGAAGGCCTGGAACACCCCTGGTGCCAGGTGCCACGTCCACTTGTCTCGTGGATGCTTGGCGTCAGTCCCGGAGGAGGACAGAGTAACTGGGCATGATTCGGAGGGATGAGCGCTGTTCTCATCATGGTTTCCCCATCGGGAGAAAGACAGAGCTGGCTCCCTGACCTGATGGGAGGGAAGATTCCCATGAAAGACATAAACCCATGGGGGACCGGCGCTGTAGCGTAGCGGGTAAAGCCACTGCCTGCAGCGCCGGCATCACAAATGGGCACCAGTTCGAGTCCCAGCTGCTCCACTTTCAATCCAGCTCTCTGCTGTGGCCTGGGGAAGCAGTAGAAGATGGCCCAAGTCCTTGGGCCCCTGTACCCATGTGGGAGACCTGGAAGCAGCTCCTGGCTCCTGGCTTTGGATCAGCGCAGCCCTGGCTAGTGCGGCCAATTGGGAACCAATGGATGGAAGATTCTCTCTCTCTCTCTCTCTCTCTCTCTCTCTCTCTCTCTCTCTTCCTCTCCTCTCTGTGTAGCTCTTTCAAATAAATCTTTAAAAAAAAGAAAGAAAGCAAGCAAACCATGGAAGGGCTAATAGAAGAACACGGGGTTTTTCCAATGATCTCTGAGTGAAGAATTCCTTCCCGAATACTAGCAGCAAAACAGACTGACAAATAGCACGTTAAAAAAATTAACACTGAGTGGCCAGGTGGGTGCTGGGTGCAGGAGTTGAGTCTCTGCTCGGGGTGCCCACCTCGCATACCCAAGTGCTAGGTTCGAGTTCCAGCTACTCCACTTCTGATCCGGCTTCCTGCTGATACACACCCTGGGGAGCTGTTGGTGACCGATACAGCACATGGGTCCCTGCCCTGCGTGGGAGATCCCGATTCAGCCAGACCCATACCTGGCTGAGGGGACATTTGGAGAGGGAACTAGCAGCAGGGATGGGGGACATTTTTTTTCTGCCAAGGGCCTTTTGGGTATTTGTAATATCATTCATGGCCCATACGAAATTAATTAGCCTGCTATAACTTGACTGGATTTTGAGTCCTGCCTATGGTTGCCTCGGCAAGGCCAGACTTAATGATTTGGAGGGCCTTATGTGGCCCCTGGGCTGGATGTTCCTCACCCCTGCAGTACGTGAAAGCTCTCTCTCTGTCCCCACCCTGCTTCAAATAAAGTGAAAATTGCAATAAAAATCGCAATGGTGAGATGCAACACAGACAAGATGGCAAGACGAACAGCAAAGTGGGGGAAATGTTTGCGACTCATCTCACGGAGACAGGGCTCACCTGGAAATCTCTAAAGCACTCCTATATGGTAATTTTTTTTCTTTTTAAAGAAAGAGGCACAGAGAGTGAGAAAGACCGAGAAACCAAAAACCAAATAGAAAAAAAAATGGGTAAGGGCAAACACAGGCAGACGTAGTTGACAGAATAGGAGATAACGATGGTTGGAGGACAGGTGCAGCTTGCCTTGCTCAGGAGAAAATAAAACGGCTCTGCGGGGCGCAGCTGGGCCACAAGCATTGTGGGAGTCACTGTGTACCAGCAGCAGGTGTTACGTGCAACGGGGAGGGGTAGGGGGCCTTCAGGGCCTGTGGGTCCTGGGATCTCCCCAGACAGTGGACTCTGAAACACCTGGGGAGCTCTGGCCAGCCCCAGTGCCCGCAGGCCACGCCCACAAGGCCTTCAAGGAGGGCGCCAGGCCCCAGGCCCGCTCTGTGCAGCTGGGCAAGCTCCACTGCCCTGGACCCAGGCTCAGGCGAGTCAGCTCATGCCTGGTGGCCTTGTAGGAGGAGGCAGCCACTCCAGACCCTGGGAGCAGAGTCCTCATCAGCCCCGTTCTAGCTGCTCCTGCTTCCCCAGAGGTACCTGTTGCTCCAGGAAGCACTGACCGGCTGACCCCCTGCCATCCCAAACCCAATGGCCACTGGGACCAGAAAAGAGGCGTCACAAGTGTGGGGCCAGGGTCGCGACACTGGCACCCCATACGAGCGCCAGTTCCAGTCCCTGGCTGCTCTGCTCCGATCCAGCTCCCTGTTTAAATGCCTGGGAAGCTCCTGTCCCTGTTTGGAGAGCTTGATGCAGTGGCTGGGATTTCTCTGTCTCTCTCCCTCTCTCTCTGCCGCTCCGCCTTTCAAATAAATAAAAAAGGACATCCTGGGGCCAGCGCTATGGCGTAGCGGGTAAAGCTGCCACCTGCAGTGCCGGCATCCCCTATGGGCGCCGGTTCAAGTCCCGGCTGCCCCACTTCCGATCCAGCTCTCTGCTATGGCCTGGGAAAGCAGTGGAAGATGGCCCAAGTCCTTGGGCCCCTGCACCTGCGTTGGGAGTCCCGGAAAAAGATCCAGGCTCCTGGTTTTGAATCGGCTCAGCTCTGGCCATTGTGGCCATTTGGGGGAGTGAACCAGGAAGACCTCTCTCTCTCTCTCTCTCTCTCTCTCTCTGCCCCTCTTGAACTCTGCCTTCCAAACAAATAAATAAAATAAAATAGCGACAGTTAACAGATGAGGTCATGCAGGGCGAGGATGACCTTGAACCCCTGGGCATGTTATAGGATGGAGCCACAGCCCCACCTTCGTGGCCACAGTGGAGCAGCAGGGGAGGCGGTGAGTGGGCTGGGCCTTGGCTCTGCTGCTCGCGGCTGCGTGACCCCCTGGCCTGGGCCGCAAGGGCCAGCAGGGGCACAGGTGCTACAGCCCTTCGGTGGGTGCAGAGCCGCGGCTTCAGGAGGGGTGGGCCCTACCAGCGAGTGCTTCTCCTCGAACTGGGCGATCTTGAGTTTGCCCTGCTCCTGGTTCTCCTGGATCGCCTCCTGGATGCACTCAGTAAACGTGTCCAGCTCGATCTTCCGCTTTTCCTGCTGTTTCAGGCCGTACTCGAAAATGTTCACGCAGATGGTGACAAATTTGTCCTTGTAGGTGGGTGGGCGTTAAGGAAGCTCAGGGCAGCGTCTCTCTCCCTTGGAGCAGGCCACCGGGGAGGGCCACAAGGGTGCAAGGGCTTGCTACGCTGAACGTGTGTGTGTGCAGGACTCGAACTCAGGGTCTCGTCTGATGGAGGAAGCCACTGAGGGCCCAGAGACCTGGCACTGGAGATTCAGAGGGTAATGGTGTGGCTGAGGTCTCGCCACCATCGGAGGCCTGGTGGGGGAAGGAGCTGGGGACCACGGGCAGAACCCACAGGGCAGAGCAGGCCCCAAACAGACTGCCTGGGGACCTGGCGGGACAGGGAGGGGCTGGCAGCCCGAGGAGCCAGCCCTGGCCAGGGGATGAGGTGGTGTGCATTGTCTCTGGTGTGTGACCGAGATGGGCTCTTGGGCAGAGGGCCCGTTTTGCTGCTCAGCTGTGCTGGGGTGGGGTAGGTGGGGGTGGAGGGGCCAGGGGTGGAAGTGGAGGATCCAGGTTCAAGTCCTGGCCCCGCCACTGCCACTGGGAAAATTGTCAAGATTTGAAAACAGAGTCATCCGTGTCATACCTTGGCAAAGCAGAGCCAAGGCAGGCTGCGGGGCGGGGGGGGGGGGGGGCTGGCAGCGCAAGATGTGCCTGATCAAAGGGACTGTCACACACCCGCTGGGCCACTTTCACGAGAGCACCTGCCGGACAGCGGCTCCACCAGCCCCACCCCCACACAACAGGCTGCTTAGGCCTTGAGGTGTCAAGTCTCGCCCAGTGACTGCTGGTATCCATGAACCTTCTGTTGTAACAACTTAACATGGGGCCGGTGCCGTGGTGCAGAGGGCAAAGCCTCTGCCTACAGTGCTGTTATCCCATATGGGCGCCGGTTCTAGTCCCAGGTGCTCCACTTCCGATCCAGCTCTCTGCTATGGCCTGGGAAAGCAGAAAATGACCCAAGTCCTTGGGTGCCTGCACCTGTGTGGGAGACCCGGAAGAAGCTCCTGGCTTCAGATCAGCCCAACTCCGGCTGTTGCAGCCATTTGGGGAGTGAACCAATGGATGCGAAACCTCTCTCTGTCTCTGCCTCTGCATCTCTGTAACTCTGCCTTTCTAATAAATAAATAAAATTTAAAAAAGAAGATAGCCCTCCTCCGCCTAGCGGCGCCAGCACACCGGGTTCTAGTCCCGGTTGGGGCACCGGATTCTGTCCCGGTTGCCCCTCTTCCAGGCCAGCTCTCTGCTGTGGCCAGGGAGTGCAGTGGAGGATGGCCCAAGTGCTTGGGCCCTGCACCCCATGGGAGACCAGGAAAAGCACCTGGCTCCTGGCTCCTGCCATCGGATCAGCGCGGTGCACCGGCCGCAGCGCGCCGGCCACGGCGGCCATTGGAGGATGAACCAACGGCAAAGGAAGACCTTTCTCTCTGTCTCTCTCTCTCACTGTCCACTCTGCCTGTAAAAAAAAAAAAAAAAAAAAAAAAAGAAGATAGCCCAAGTGCTTGGGCCTCCGCCACTGACATGGAAAACCCAGATGGAGGTCCAGGCGTCTGACTTCAGCCTGGCCCAGGATGGGGAAACAGTCCCAGCAGGGGCTGGGGGCTCCGTGAGCAGGCTCTGCCAGACAAGAGGCGGCGAGAGCCGGGGCGGATATGTCTCCAGCAGCTCCCCGACGCCGGGCAGGTAGGACAGCTTGTTGCCTTCCACATCTTCAGCGTACATGCTGTCAAACAGGAAGGAGTCGTTCAGGCGGTCCACGAAGGCAGCCTGCGGGCAGAAACAGGGCCCCGCGGTGACCCAGGCGGGCTCCAGGGAGGACGCGCTGGGCACGGCCCCCCGGCTGGGCACTAACACAGACACTACCCCTTGGGCTTCAACCCTCTCCGAGGTAGAGGGGCGGCGGGAGGGGGTGGTGGAGGGGTGCCTCCCAGGCAGAAGGAACAGCAGGTGCGAGGCTGCTTCGGTCTGGCTGCACGGAGGGGTGGGGCTCATGGCGGGAGGCCATGTTCAGCCTGTTTCTGGCATGCCATGCCGTGCTGGAGGGTGTGTGGGGAGGGGACGTCTGCCCGAGGGTCTTAAGGCGCAAGACTGTAGCACCCTCTCGCAGCCCAGAGTGTTGGACGCAGGGGTACGCCAGCAAGCGCGGGACAGGACCGACCGGGAGTCTGCGCTGTGGTTGGAGCCAGCCCCAGGGAGGTGGGCGGGGCGGGGAGGGCTTCGTGGCCTGTGCGTGGGGCACGATTTCTCCCAGGGCGCCCAGGGATCCCGGCGGGCCTGCGTTGAACGTGTCCGTCCGCGAGAGACCTTGTGCGCCTCCAGCTCCGCGCGCTGGGCCTGCTCGGCCTCCAGCCGGGCCTGCGCCAGGTGCTCCCGGTGTTTCAGCTCGTCCGTGCTGTACTGGTGCTTTGCCTCTGCGAGTTCTTTCTGGCCGGAGAACAGCAGGTGGCACTGTTAGCGGAGCTCGCCTGGTTGTCCCCACCACCACCACTTCCCTCCCTGCCGTGGGCTGGGGGAGGGGCCCGGGCCGGACAGACCCCTTCACAAGGCAAGGTTGGCTGAGGGGTCCCAGGGAAATTAGGGAGCTGAGAAGGCCCCTTCAAGAGCCTGGGTTTCGTTTCCGATTTGTCCGGATGATTCTAGGCGAGGGTCTGAGTCTGGAGGGGGCCTTGGTTTGCTTCTGGGACCCTGAGCGCCCTCCCCTGCCCCTCATCCCCCAGCCCCCGACCCCTGCTGTGCTGGGGGGGGGGGGCTGGGGCACTGCTCAGTGAGAGGCTTTCTTTTCTAAATTATTTTATTGTTAGATTTTAAAATAAAAAACATTGAAAGGCAGTGAGAGAGAGAGAGAGAGAAAGACATCTTCCATCTGCTGGTTCACTCCCCATATGCCTGTTAACAGCCAGCGCTGGGCCAGACTGAAACCAGGAGCCCAGAACTCCATCCGGGTCTCCCACGTGGGTGGCAGGGACCCAAGTATTTGGGCTGTCTTCCGCTGCTTTCCCGGGATGGGCATCGGCAGGGAGCTGGATCAGAAGGGGAGTAGCCGGGGCTCCCGATATGGGATGCGGGCGTCCCAAACAACTTACAGCTAACACCTTCCTCTGTCCTATTTTTATGATGTTTTTATTACTATAAAGAGAACAGATTTTATGCTCTCTATAGGTGCAGGTCCAAGGTGCCCCATGGTTTCATAACAAGAAGAGCACACTCAAACAGGTATGTGGCCAACCCAGCATCCGAGAGCACCGTTGCCTTTAAAACTGGCTCAGGGGCCCGTGCTGTGGCTCAGCGGGCACAGCGGGTCAAGCACTGGCCTGCGATGCCAGCATCCCGCGTGAGCCCCAGCTGCTCCACTCCCTACTGATGCACCTGGGGAACCGGAACATGACCCAAGTGCTTGGGCCCCTGCCACCCACGTGGGAGACCCGGATGGAGTTTCCGGCTCCTGGGTTTGGCCTGTTTGCAAGCCATTTAGGGAGTGAACCAGCAGATGAGAAATCTCTTCTGTCTTTCTGTAACTCTGCCTTCCAAAGAAACAAATCAACCAATAAATCTTTAAAATAAAAAAAAAGGGGTGAGGCATTGCTGTGGCATCACAGATAAAGCTGCCGCCTGCAGTGTCCGCATCCCATATGGGCGCCGGTTCTAGTCCCGGCTGCTCCACTTCCGATCCAGCTCTCTGCTGTGGCCCGGGAAGGCAGTGGAGGATGGCCCACGTGCTTGGGCCCCTGCACCCACGTGGGAGACCTGGAAGAAGCTCCTGGCTCCTGGCTTCGGATCAGGCCAATTGGGGAGTGAACCAGCGATGGAAGACCTCTCTCTCTCTCTCTCTGGCTCTCCTCTCTCTGTGTAACTCTGACTTTCAAATAAACACATAAATCTTTTTAATAAAATAAATAAAATAGATACAGCTGTAGTCTCAGCTTCCGGTCCCATGCAGGGACAAGAGAAAGCCTGTGGCGGGAGGAGGGGACTCCCCCTGAGGTCACCTCCTCTCTAAGCCTCCACAGCAGTGCTGGTGGGCAGGGGACCACGTGCTTGGACGGCACCTTGGCCCACCCAGGAGAGAGGGGCTCCTCTCACTGTAGGTTCTAGGGGCTCAGAGTTGAGGCTGGGGGCCCACCCTCCTGCCTGCCTCTCCAGGTGTCCCCCACCCTGGGGGTCATTTTAGTGCTCAACACAGCTCCTGTCTGCAGGACAGGTACCAGCAGGCAGGTCAGCTGGCCCGACTCAAGGTGCCACCCCAGTCCCAATGGGTCAGTACCCCCCACCCCCTGCCACTCCTTCCCACAATGGATGGCACGGCCCAGAGTGAGAAGCAAGGGCTTCACAGCAGGGGATGGGGGGCGGGGAGGGAGGCAGGCAGGGGGCAGCAGGAAGACCCTCCCACAGGCAGGCAGCTCACTCACAGGGACTGACTCCCAGCTCCAGCCCCGCCCACTGGAGTCCCCGCCCTTGAGCGCCAGTTTGGCCACTGGGACGACAGCAGGGTCCCGGCTGGCTGGTGGTGAGACGGCGCCATGGGCTTGATTGATGAACGCCCAACAACAGCTAGCTCTTAATATTGCTCCCGGGGTCACAGAGACCAGGGTGCAGGGGGTAGGGGGGAGCCCTCTTCACTGTTTCCTTTAGGAAACCACACAGTGGCTGCGAGGTGGCCTTGGGACAATGCGCAGAGATGGGGGAGCCCTGGTTGCTGGGAGCCTGGGCGAGAGGGCACCCACGCAGGTGCTGCGGGACCCCACGGGGGTGGGGGAGGGGGAAGACACGTGCCATGTGGTCACCGATGCGCCGGAAGTCCAGGTACACGAGGTCGGGCAGGTAGGCGTAGATGAACATCTTGTAGTCCTCCGCTTGGGCGATGGGGTTCCCGGCGAGGCTGAGCGTGCGCAGGCACTTGAACCGCCGCAGGTAGACGAGCTGGGGAGGAGAGGACGCTCCGTCCTGGCTGCCTGGAAACACACCCCCGCCTTCTCCCTGCAGCCGGGAGGGCCCTGGCACCTTCAGGCCTCAGGCAGGGCGGGGGTGGGGCACAGGTGCAGAGTGGGTGGGTGGGGGTCCAGGCCTGCAGGTAGGGGACTAGGTATTGCCCTGAGATATTGGATCAGGCACGGACAGACGGGAGCTCCAATCCCAGCTATGGGGCCTTGGGCAAGTTCCCCTAAGCCTCAGTGCGTGTAGAATGAGGAATGAGCGGAGGGATGTTACGTGTGTTACAGCCGTCGTAAAGCAAGGCCCAGATGAAAGGCGCCTGACATCCAGACACAGAAGCCAAGTTAGGGCTGTGGTGGTTGTCGTCTGTGGGCCCTCGGGGCAGGGCTTCGTGGATGCCCCACCCCCACCCCATCTCATCCATCAAATGGATCAAGACCGGCGGCCAGCCAGCGGGAGACAGCCATGCGCAGCTGCGCTAGAACCGCAGCGCACAGCGCCTCCCAGCGCCCAGTGTCGGAACTGCGCCCAAGGCCGTCAGTCATAATAAATAGCATTCACGACCAAGCAGGCAGCAAGCCTCAGGTGTGTGCCCAGGGAGACCAAAGCCCACGTGGACCCCAGAGCTTACACGGTGGGTGGTGCTGGGAGTGTTTTTAAAATTAAGTAGCATCATCACAGACTAGGCAAAGTGCTACAAGGAACGTAAAGACAGCACCGACCGTGAGAGGTGGCATTTATGGGAGACGGGAGGGAGCCAGTGGTGGTAGTGCAAGGAGAGCACTTTCTCAGGAGCCAAAACAGCACGGGCAAAGGCCCTGGGGCAGCGACAAGTTCAGGGTACACCAGGAACAGAGAAAGGCTGGGGCAGCTGCAGTATGATGGAGGAAAGACTTGATACAAGTGTGGAGACAAGGTCAGGGGCTGGTTCATGTAAGACCATGCTGGCTGGGGCCAGTGCTGTGGTACAGTAGGCTAAGCCTCCCCCTGTGGCGCTAGCATCCCATATGGGCACCGGTTCAAGTCCCAGCTGTTCCACTTCGGATCCAGCTCCCTCTGTGGCCTGGGAAAGCAGTAGAAGATGGCTCAAGTGCTTGGGCCCCTGCTACCCACGTGGGAGACCTGGAAGAAGCTCCTGGCTCCTGGCTTCAGATCGACCCAGCTCTGGCCATTGCGGTCATCTGGGGAGTGAACCAGCGGATGGAAGACCTTTCTCTCTGTCTCTCCCTCTGTCTGTCTGAAACTCTGCCTCTCAAATAAATAAATAAATCTTAAAAAAAAAAAAAAACATGCAGGCTGTGGTCGAGGGTTTGGATTTTGCTCTAAGGATGATGGAAGCCAGTGGAGTTTGAAGCGTGTATGAGAAAAGACGGGGCCTGATTTCATTTTTTAGAGATCTCCCGGTGAGATTCCATTTCTCAGCTTGTTGGCAGGCAAAGAGAAAAGCCTCAGAAGCGAGCGCGCTATAGAAAGTTGACAGGCAGCGGGCCACACCGGGGGGTTTGTAAACGGTTCCACTTCCCCGGAGGCCGAGCTGGCAGAGAGCCGTCCAGATTGAAGATGCACCTGCCTTCTGGTCCAGCAACCCTCGCCGGGAGTGTATCTTACATGTGGGCTGACCCAGGCGCACGTGACCCCTGCTCGAGGTCATCCTGGGGTTCAAGGACATCTGAGGTGGTCTGTGTGATGCCACCAGCTTGGAGCAACTTCAGCGTCCACCTCCGAGGGACGGGGGAAGTACATCGCGTGGCATCGGAATATGGCGCAGGCAGCGGAGTGGGCTGCTAACGGGGGTGGAGACAGGACATGAGGGCGGGGCTTGGAGGGCAGCTGGACAGAGCCAGGATGCCTGGCCGCAGCTGTGGTCTCGGCCAGGGACGCAGGTACAGAGGGTGAGGGGGTAACAGAGGCTCTTTCCCGGGGGCCCTGATTTTGCTTCAAAGTCCGCGTGTTTTGAAATGGGCGCTGTGGCTCATGGGTTGAGATGCTGTCTGGGGACCCCACACTGGAGTACTGTCTGAGTCCCGGCTGCTTTGCTTCTGATCCGGTTCCATGCCCCTGCGCCTGGGAAGCACCCGCTTGGATCCCTGTCACTCAAGTGGGGGATCTGAATGGAGTTCCCGGCTCCTGGCTTCGATGTGGCCCTCCCCTCGGCTGTTGTGGCCATTTGGGGAGTGAACTGGCAGAGGAGAGCTCGCTCTCTCTCCCCTCCCCTCTCTTTCTCTGCCTTTCAAAGGCGCACGCACACACGTGCACACACACACAGACCTTGCATTCACTGTTTTCACTCCCCACATGGCAGCAACAGCCAGGGGCTGGGCCAGGCCGAAGCCGGGAACCAGGAGCTCCATCCGGATCTCCCACGTACGTGGCACGGAAGCCGTCACCTGCCCACCCTCCCAGGCTGCACAGCATAAGACGCTGGAACTGACAGCAGAGCCAGGACCCAAACCCAGGCACTCGGATACAGCTAGGTGGAGACAACCGGGGGTCTCCAGGACCCGGGTGCAGCCTGGCCGCAGGAGCTTCTGGCCCCGGCCGCTTCTCCCTAGGGGCCTTCTCTCTCCCCGACTCTGGGAACCAGCAACCCTGCCTCTCACACATGTCAGGTACTGAACACTCTGGGGTCCACTCGGTCCTCGCTACAGCTCTACTGGCTGAGCCCATTTCACAGATGGGCAAGTGGACGCTGGCCCCAGCTCAGACAGCTGGGAGGTGGCTAAAATCTCAGCCCTTGATCCAAGGCCACGTCCTTGGTCCACGGTGGATCTCCCCCACCCCAGCAGAGCAGGGAGGGGGCAGGCTGTGCGACCAGTTCTGGACCCCCGACAAGCACGCTGGCTTCCATGGGGCATACAGGGCAGACTACTGAGACTACACTGCCTCCAGGATTTGCCCCGTCAGATGGATGGATTTACGTATAGGGACCATCTGGGTGACTGACCTCCTCCCCCGCCGCCCCGGGCCATCCATCTCAGTCAGCCTCACGTAGAGCTGGGATTCCAGCCCAGGCCATCCATCTGACCCAAGCAGTAATGGAATTCGGGGCAGCTCCCAGGGGCCCTGGCCAGGAACCACAGGGGAAGGTCTCTGTTGGGTCACCTCTGATGTGGGCCCCTTCCCGAGGCTGCCAGACCCCCAGCTATTGGGGGGGGGCGGTCTCAGCCCCAGCCTGCTGAGCTGGGAGCCCCCTGTGGGGAGTGCAGGGGCAGCCAACCAGCCTTCCCTGGAGATGACCACTGTCAGTGTCGCACAGATGCCCCCGGCGTCCGCGGACACGGGACACCAGGGGTTCTTTTAACCTGTGGGCTGGTCAGCCCCGAGGGGAACCCGCCTTGTCCGGCTCTGTCCCCACTGAGAACAGAGCAAGTGCACCCAGCAGGCAAACGTTGGCTAAATGAGCCAGAGACCGAGGGGGCAGAACGAGACGTTGCCGTGGCAAAGGCTGTGAACGGGCAGCCACAGACAGATTTTGTGAAGCGTGCTGTCCCAACACGATCGGGTCCCTGGTGGACTAAGCCGGCTTGTCAAGCGACGCGGAGGTGGGTTAGGGGTAGGGGGGAGAAGACTTGCGATGCTCCAGGTGCACCTGCCCACGCGGCAGACCCCGCCCTGTCCGAGCCCCGCGCATGCGCACGGGTGTGTGCGTGTCGTCCACTCACATTCATTATGTTGTCGATCTGGTTGTTGCCCAGCGACAGCACCTGCAGCTTGCCCAGCGCGTCCAGGGAGTCGATCCTGGAGATCCGGTTGTTGAACAAGCTCAGGTCCTCCAGGTTCACCAGGCTGTCCAGGCCCTTGATGACCTCGATGTTGTTGAAGGACAGATCTGGGGGAAGGGAAGGGGCGGATCTGTGAAGAGGCTTTGCTGTCCGGTGCCTGGGCTGGGCGGTGGGCGCTCCTCGAGCGAGGCCATCAAGGGGACTTGGTGCTCTGCGGACCGGCAGCAAGCGGCACGCCCTCCACACCCCCGGGGCAAAGCCTGCGATTATTTCTGGAAGCCTCACACGCTCACCACATCACCCCTGTGGGCGGCGCTCGCTGGGTCAGAGCTCGGAGGAGACCGGCAGCTCTGAGGCAGCAGACCATGGGCTCAGGGACGCCCCTAGCCTCAGGCCTCCCATCCGCGTAGCAATTCCGGGTTTATCCAGTGCTCTGTGTGTGTGCATCTCATCTACCCCGCTTAGGTATTGTGAAGTAATCCAGAGATACTTTAAAGTACTCGGAAGGATGGGTGTAAGTTACACACAAATATAAGGGTACTTTAAGAAGTTCACGGATGGGGCCGGCGCTGTGGTGTAGTGGGTAAAGCTGCCGCCTGCAGTGCTGGCATCCCATAGGGGCACCGGCTCGAGTCCCGGCTGCTCCACTTCCGATCCAGCCCTCTGCTGTGGTTTGGAGAAGCAGTGGAAGATGGCGCAAGTCCTTAGACCCCTGCACCCGCGTGGGAGACCCGGAGGAAGCTCCTGGCTCCTGGCTTTGGATCGTGCAGCTCCAGCTGATGTGGCCATCTGGGGAGTGAACCAGCGGATGGAAGACCTGTGTGTGTGTGTGTGTGTGTGTGTGTAACTCTTTCATATAAAATTAATAAATCTTTAAAAAATTATTTACACCAAATAAAGTGTTTTTTTTTAAAAAAAGATTTATCTTATTTGTTTGAAAGGCACAATGATGGTGGGAGGCGGGTGAGAGAGACAAAGAGAGGTCTTCCATCTGCTGGTTCACTCCCCAAATGGCTGCAACAGCTGTGGCTGGACCAGGCTGAAAACAGAAGCCTGGAACTCCATCTGGGTCTCCCACACGGGTGGCAGGGGCCCAAGCACTTGGGCCTCTTCTGCTGCTTTCCCAGGTGCATTTGCGGCAGCTGGATCAGAGCAGCCAGGACTGGAACCAGCACTCCAATACGGGATGCTGGTGACATAGGCCTCGGCTTAACCCACTGTGCCAGGACACCAGCCCCAAAATAAAGGTTTCTTTTTAAACACCAATTTATTTATCTGAGAGGCAAAAGAGAGACTACCATTTGCTGTCTCCTCCCTAGATGTCCACAATGATCAGGACTGGGTTGGGCCAAAGCTGGGCCAGGCTGAAGCCTGGAGTCGGCAACTTAGTCCAGGTCTTCTAGGTGGCTGGCAGAGGTCCAACTACCTGAGCCGTCACCACTGCCCCCAGAGGCCGCAGTGGGAGGGCACTGGGGTGGGGGGTGGAGCCTGGCAACAATGCAGGTGTCTCACTGCAAGGCTACATCCTGACTCCGAAACTTTTAATTTCACTTTTCCACTAACTTTTTGAAGTGTCCTCCTGTTATGCCATTCCCCCCCTCAGATTTATTTATTCTTATTTATTTACTTGAGAGGCAGAGTTACAGAGAGAGGGAGAGACAGAGAGAGAGGTCTTCCATCTGCTGGCTCACTCTCCAAATGGCCGCAATGGCCAGAGCTGTGCCAATCCGAAGCCAGGAGCCAGGAGCTTCCTCCAGGTCTCCCACATGGGTGCAGGGGCCCAAGCACCTGGGCCATCTTCTACTGTTTCTCCCAGGCCATTAGCAGGGAGCAGGATCAGAAGTGGAGCAGCCAGGACTTGAACTGGCGAACCTATGGGATGCTGGCACTGCAGATGGTGGCTTAACCTGCTGCCCCACAGCGCTGGCCCTGTGTTATGCCATTCTACACAGGGGACTTGAGCATCCAGGGATGTGACCTCAGGGGGTCCTGGAACCCATCTGGCACGAGCTTTCGGGCTTGGCTGGTGGCTGGGGTTGTAACCCTGTGCAGGAGGCCAGTGGGCCAGCGGCCGGCACTGGGGATTTGTCCTGAGCTTGGCAGTACGGACAATCCTGGCAGACAAGCGGTCACTTTGCAAGGGTGAGTTGGGAGTCAGCTTAACCCCAGCATCATTGGTCTCGTCTGCATGTCCACGACGCCCATCTGTGCACGGGTGACACTGCCAACATCTCCTTGTCCCCTGCTCTGTGCCAGGCCCTGGACTGGCACCGCCTTATTTAATCCTCATAGCACAGGTGTCGTCATCCCACCGCAGATGAGGGAACTGGGACTCAACGGCGCCCCCTGGCGACCTGCTGCAGATAGCACAGCACAGAAACTGAGGCGATGTCTGCAGTCAGTTCCGAGTCCGCAGGGGCAGGCAGCTGGCCCGATGGTTAAGAGGCAGGTTCGGGGCCAGCGCTGTGGCGCAGCGGGTAAAGCCACCGCCTGCAGCGCCGGCATCCCATAGGGCGCCGGTTCGAGTCCTGGCTGCTCCACTTCCAATAGAGCTCTCTGCTACAGTAGATGTTCCAAGACCTTGTTGGGGAACCCAGAAGAAGCTCCTGGCTTTGGATTGGTTTGGGGAATGAATCAATGCATGGAAGATTCTCTCTGCCTAAATAAATCTAAGAGAGAGAGAGAGAGAGATGCAGGTTAAGATGTCCACATCACGTGTTTGATGCCTGCCTCTGGCTGCATCCACTGGTTCACTCCCCAAATGGCTGCAACAGCTCGGGCTGCATGGTAGAGGCCCAAGCACTTGGGCCATCTTCTGCTGCCTTTCCAAGGCACATTAGCAGGGAGCTGGATGGGAAGTGGAGCAGAACTGGTTCTCACGTGGGAGGCTGGTGTCCCAGGCAGTGGCTTCACCTACTGCACCACTACATTCGCCCCCAGGTTCTGTTCTTGAGGGGCCTGGCCCAGCCCCTAAGAACGCGTGGTGAGTGTTTAACAGCAGGGGTTGGGGGAAGCCCTGCTTTGTGGTTCTTTCTCAGTTCCGGGGGATGGGTGGGTGTCCATACTCCCACTGTGGCCAATTCCAAGCTACCCACAGAGCATCCCAGGATGCAGGACACTAGGCACACCTGGCACCCTCGGCCCTGTGTCCCGGGTGGGTGTGGGGGCTGGGCTGCTGGCTAATGTGCCAATTAAGATGCCCGCGTCCCACAGTGGAGATCCTGGGTTTCACACCCAGCTCTGGTCCTGACTCAGCTTCCTGCTAAATGCAGACCTGGGAGGTCCCTGCCGTGGGTTCCTGCCACCCACGTGCCTCCTAGCTTTGGCCCAGCCCGGCCCCTGACGCTGTGCTGGGGGGTGCAGAACTTGTAGATGGAAGCTCTCAATGAAACTTTAAAAGGAAAAAAAAAAAAAAAACAGTGGCATTCAGATGGCCCGTGCAGGGTGGCCTTGGGTGGGGGCGGTGGCTCAGGGCTGGCTAGAGAGAGAGAGGCCTCCTGATGGTGTGGACAGGCCACCGTGCCCAGGAATCAGCAGTAAGGAATGCTGGGTAAGGTGTGTGTGTGTGTGTGTGTGTGTGTGTGTGTGCTGGGGGCGGGAAGAACATGGGCTTTGGGGTCAGACTGGTGTGGGTCCAAGTCCCAGCACTGCTACTGCTTGGTCCTTGGCTCTGGGCACGCGCCTTGGCCTCTCTGAGCCTTGGCTCCTCTTGCGTAGACTGTACCAGGCACCTGTATCCTAGGGTTGTTGTGGGAACGCAGCAGGCCCATCCTTTTCTCCCTGTTGGGTGCCTACCTGCCCCTCACCAGATGCCCCTGGGAGGCCAGTGCATGGCCCCTGTTCATCCAAACGGCCTCATCCTCCCCACCCCGGCCTGGGCAGGGAGGGCCAGAGCCCATGTCGCTCTTAGGCACTGTGACCTCTGTTTGCTTATCTGCACAGTGGGGGTGCTGGGTGCTTGTGTGGGGTCACGGAGCTCACGGAGCCCACGCACAGGCCCACCGGCTTCTGCGATGACTATTGCTGCTTTGCTCCCGGGGCCCTGCCAGTCAGTGGCTACCTGTCAATCCGAGTGGAAATTGAAGGGGAGGAGTCTGTAGCAGCCCCCTGAGCGCCCCGCCCAGCCTGGGAGGCCGGCGGGCGGGAGCAGAATGGCCCGTCTGTGCTGTGCTCTGTCCAGTGTGGATCCCGGGTCTTTTGAAAGACAGCAGCCGTGCCCAGGCTAAGGACCGTGCCCAGGTAGCTGAGGGTCAAGCGTGAGAGTGCCGTCTCCCTGGGTGGGGGGCAGAGGCGGGGAGGCGGGGCGGGGCGCGGCACAACCTTGGCAGGTGGGCGGGAGCAGACGCATGCGCAGAAGGGGCCTCACCCAGCCAGACCAGGTGGACGAGGTTTTCCAGGCCCTCGATCCTCTCGATGATGTTGTTGTCCAGCTGCAGCTTGCGCAGGTTCTCGAACTGCCAGAGGTTGTCAATGTGCAGGATGTCTGCAAAGACCAGAGGAGAGAGGCGCGTGGGCTTCTGGGCCGGCGCACGGCGGCACCGAGACGCCTCACCTTCTCTCGCCCTGCCCTGGAGGAAGAAGCTAGGTGCCCTGGCGGCGAAGGCTGAGCACCCAGGACGGGGGAGGGGCGGTCAGCCACAGGCTTCTTAATTAAGGCCGGCCTGGACCACACCCCGTCTTGCCCACCAGGGAATCCCGCTCCCTCCTTGTTGCTGGCTGGTCGCCTGGGCAGCCTGGAGGGCTCAAGACGGAGCAGGGATGAGGATCAGAGCAGGTGCACAAAGCACGGGGGGTTCAGGATCCCCGCAAAGCTCTCCCCGCTTCCTCTCGAAATGCCCTCGCTCTGCCCGGCAGGGCTGTCTCCCGTCGGGAGCTGCAGGCGCCCATTCCACCGCTGGGGACGCGAGGCGGGAGGGATCCACCTGTCCCCAGCCCCATCGTCCACGGGCTGCCTCTCGGCCTCAGGCGCCCTGCGCCCTCCTGCTTTCCTGCCCCCTCCTGCTTTCCTGCCCTTTCTTCAGCCACCCCCCCGCCCCCGCCCCCCACCAAGGCTACTGGGCCCCTGCTTCCTATCTCCAGCTGCCGGCTGCATAGGACCCCTAGCTTCTACCTGCTGGGAGCTCCCTGCTGCAGACACCAGTGTGGGGTCCCCTCGGGGCTTAGACTGGCAGCGGGACGGGTTTCTAATCTGTTCTGTTCTCAATCAGGTCAGGGGCGCTGTGGACAGTCACACGACGACGGCACTAAGTATGGCGTCCTCAGCGCATCCGTGCTGGGGCCCGCAGTGGGTTCCTGGAGGGTGGGGAGGGGCGAGGCGGCTGCTCCCCGGGCGGGGGGACCAGGGGACATGGACACGCACTCTGGAAGTCCAGCCGCAGGGTCAGGACATCTTTGAAGAGGATGCCCTCCTGTTTGGCCAGCTGCCCGGCCTCCTCGCGAGGCCCCTGCTCGCTCACGGCCAGCTTCAGCATCTCGTCGTCCATCACGCGCGGCTCTATGGAGTTGTGCAGCCGGCTCATGTTCCCTGCAAGACAGCGCCACGCCCTCCTGAGGCCCCGCCCTCCTGAGGCCCCGCACCCCTCCTCCGTCGGGGGACAGGCACTGCTGAGGTCTCCCTTGCTTTTATTTTTTTAAATATTTATTTGAGAGGCACAGTTAAAGACCGAGAGAGAGAGAGAGAGAGAGGGGTGTCTTCCATCCACTGGTTCAATCCCTATATGGCTGCAATGGTCACACCTGGGCCAATCCAGAGCCAGGAGCTTCTTTCGGGTCTCCCATCGGCATGCAGGGATCCAAGCACTTGGGCCATCTTCTACTGCTTTCCCAGGCCACAGCAGAGAGCTGGATTGGAAGAGGAGCAGCCGGGTCTCGAACCAGCGCCCCTAAGGGATGCGGGCACTGCAGGCGGCCATGTTACCCGCTACACCACAGCGCCGGCCCTCCCTGAGGTCTTCTCTTAAGGTTTCTCTCTGTTTCCTGTTGTTTTTTTTTTTTTTACCCAAGATTTCTTTCTTTGAAAAGAAGGACAGAGAGAGAAGGAGGGGAGGGGGGAGGAGAGAGGGAGGGAGAGAGAGATCCTCCATCTGCTAGTTCACTTCCCAAATGGCCACAACAGCCAGCGCTGGGCCAGGGCAAAGCCAGGAGTCTGGACTCCATCCAGGTCTCCCAAGCACTAGGGCCATCATCTGTTGTTTCTCAGGCGCATTAGCAGGGAGCTGGATGGGAAGTGGAGCAGCCAGGACTCGAACCAGTGCTCCAATATGAGATGTGGGCATTACAAGCGGCGGCTTAACCCACAACGCCAGGTCCTGTGACGGCGTCTTAACTCGGAGGGCTGCCCCTCAGGGTCCGTACATGTGTCCCCAGGGAGCTCTGGGTGCTCCTGGCAAGCACCTGGGCCACCTGCCGGGGTCCATCTCTCGGCCCCACAGCTACAGCTTGTCCCACTGGGCTGTGGCCTGGTGCCAGGCCTCCCCGTCCAGGTCTCTTGGTGCCAACCATTGGCAGCCCCGGTCAAGTTGCCGGCTGACAGTTGCCTTGTCCCCTGCAGGTCCAGTGCTCAGTGAGGCACTGACCCAAGCTGCCCACTCGTGTCCCTGCCTCCTGAGACTCGGGACTGGGGATGAGGGTGCTCAGCAGAGGTGGGGACCCCACAGCTGGCCTGGCCGGGCACAGGGCGAAGCCAAGAACAGGAGGAACAGACACAGAGGCAGAGAGAGGAAGATGGGGGCTGGGGGGTACACACAGGACAGACAGACTGACACAGACAGACACTGTCTTCCTCCTGCTGGCTTTTCAGTCCCTAACGTGCCCGAGTCCAGGCCTTGCGAGTTCTGTGTCTCCTTCTGTGGGCATTTCCCATCCCTTTCTCTTAAGGTCTCTGTGATCTCTTACATTTCTTTTTGGGGGCCGGCGCTGTGGCATAGCGGGCAAAGCCGCCCCCTGCAGTGGCCGGCATCCTATATGGGCACTGGTTCGAGTCCCAGCTGCTCCACTTCTGATCCAGCTCTCTGCTGTGGCCTGGGAAAGCAGAAGATGGCCCAAGTGCTTGGGCTCCTGTACCTGCGTGGGAGACCTGGAAGAAGCTCCTGGCTCCTGGCTTCAGATCAGCACAGCCCTGGCTGTTGCGGCCAACTGGGGAATGAACCAATGGATGGAAGACCTCTCTCTCTTTCTTTCTCTCTCTCTCTAACTCTGCCTTTCAAATAAATAAATAAATCTTAAAAAAATTGTTTTTGACAAGCAGAAACAGAGACAGAGGGGGGCAGGGCGGGGAGGGGGACGCGAGTGCAAGCAGGTGCTCCCAGTGGAGGGGGTGGGCAGGGTGAGAGGGTGAAGCTAAGAGCCCTAAACTCCATCCAGGTCTCCCGCACCAGCAGCAGGGACTCAACCACTCGCGCCATCACTCCTGCTTCTGGGTGTGGGCCAGCAGGAAGCTGGAGTGGGGAAGCAGAGCTGGAAATCAAATACAGGCCCTGTGAGGTGGGACAGGGGGCATCCTCACCGATTCTTCCTCCTCGCCCCCCACCTGGATGCACCTGACGCAGGTATGCACCTTCCACTCCCAACCTGGCCCTGGCCACACGTGCCACTGCTATCCCACCTTCTGCCCACGGAAGCAGCACAGCCGTCACATGCCTGTGACGGTGAGGGCTGGGCTGAGCTGTGCTGAGGCCAAAGCCAGAAGAGCTAAAAACTCCATCTGGATCTCCCACGTGGGTGGCAGGAACCCAAGCACTCGAGCCCTCCCCTGTTGCCTCCAGGGTCTGCATTGATGCGGGGCTGGAGTCAGGAGCCAGGGGTGGCTACTTACCCTGGGCCCTGGTTAAGCCACCCATGCCCAGACTTTAATAATTATTATTTTTTAAAGATTATTTATTTCAGAGGCAGAGTTGCAGACAGAGAGAGAGAGAGAGAGAGAGAGAGAGAGGTCTTCCATCTGCTGGTTCATTCCCTAAATGGTTGTAATGGCTGGAGCTGCGCTGATCTGAAGCCAGGAGCCAGGAGCTTCTTATGGGTCTCCCACGTGGGTTCAGGGGCCCAAGCACTTGGGCATCTTCTACTGCTTCCCCAGGCCATTAGCAGGGAGCTGGATCGGAAGTGGAGCAGCTGGGTCTCGAACCAGCACCCATGTGGGATGCCAGCACTGTAGGCCAGGGCGTTAACCTGCTGCACCACAGCGCCGGCCCCTGGACTTTAATAATTCTAAGAAGCACATTCCAGCTACAGTACTGAGAACCCCAAGAGGAGTGAGGTTGGTGACAACCGAGGTGGGGGTCACACTTGAGAGCTCCCTGGGGACTCGATTTACACATAGGACGAACCCCAGTTTCCAGGTAAGAAATGGACCCATCTTCCTAAGCATGGCTCAGCTGTACCCAGGGTTCCAGACACTCTCACTGCCACCGTGCACAAGGTTTCTCACAGCTGTCCCAGGTCAGGGATGAGGCCCGAACAGCCCTGTGCTGTGGGGATACAGTCAGTAATTCCCCACCCAGGCCAGGTCCCTGCCGACTTGCCTGTCAGTGGCGTCAGTGAGCCCAGAGTTAGGCGGCAGAGACAGCAGCTTCGAGTCCGACGCCGCTGCGACCTGAAGAGCCTCTTCGCCGGGAAGCAGGTGCAGCAGTTTCCTGGGAAACAGGAACCGTGGGCCAATCGGCTCTGCGACGCACAGTTCCCAGTGCCCATGAATTACTAAGGAGGGGAGCAGCCACTAACAGGGTTTGCGTGGACTCTGCGCACACGCACTATTGAATTACACGCCAGCTCTGCAGGCCGGGACACGGCACAGGGTTCAGATACGCGGTGGAGGGGAAGAAGGTACTTGGCCAAGGTCACACAGCGGAGTAACTAACAGGGACGACCCTGCATTCCCAGCCAAAGCCAAGGGAGAATGATCACACGGACGTGCAGAGGTTGACGATGACAGCCGGAACCTGGAGGAATGATCAGCAGACAGGAGAGCAAGCACACCGTGTATGGAAAGGTTTAAGGGGCTGGCGCTGTGGCGCAGCGGGTTAATGCCCTGGCCTGATGTGCCAGCATCTCATATGGACGCCGGTTCTAGTCCCGGCTGCTCCTCTTCTAACCAAGCTCTCTGCTACGGCCTGGGACAGCAGTGGAAGCTGGCCCAAGTCCCTGCACCAGCGTGGGAGACCTGGAAGAAGCTCCTGGCTCCTGGCTTCGGATTGGTGCAGCTCTGGCTGTTGTGGTCATTTGGGGAGTGGGCCAGTGAAGGGGAGACCTCTCTCTGGCTCTACCTCTAACTCTGTCTTTCAAAGAAATAAAATAAATCTTTAAAAAAAAAAATCTAGCCGGCGCCGCGGCTCACTAGGCTAATCCTCCGCCTAGCGGCGCCGGCACACCGGGTTCTAGTCCCGGCAGGGGCGCCGGATTCTGTCCCGGTTGCCCCTCTTCCAGGCCAGCTCTCTGCTGTGGCCAGGGAGTGCAGTGGAGGATGGCCCAGGTGCTTGGGCCCTGCACCCCATGGGAGACCAGGAGAAGCACCTGGCTCCTGGCTCCTGCCATCGGATCAGCACGGTGCGCCAGCCGCAGCGCACCCGCCGCGGCGGCCATTGGAGGGTGAACCAACGGCAAAGGAAGACCTTTCTCTCTGTCTCTCTCTCTCACTGTCCACTCTGCCTGTCAAAAAAAAAATAAATAAATAAAAAAAAAAATTAAAAAAATAAAAAAAAAATCTTTTCTGGCCCTGCGCCCTTACCCTCTCCTTCCTCACCCAAAGAAAGCCCAAGACTAAGTGATGTGGCCGGCTGAAGCCAGCGTGAGGTGGCTGGCCCAGGAGCCGTGAGCTCACTTCGCAGAGGTGGGCGTGGGATTCGGCAGCCCTTAGGACACCGCTGGGGCACCCACGTCTCGTGCTGGGGTGCCGGGGTTCGAGTCCCGGGAGCTCCTGGCTCCCGCTTCCTGCTAACAATGCACACCTGGGAAGGGGCGGGTGCCGGCTCAAGTGCTCGCGGCCCCACCGCCCACGCGGGAGACCTGGGCTTTTGAGGTTATCTGGGGAGCACACTAGTGGACCGACCTCTCTTCCCACTGTCCGCCCCGGGTCTCCTCTCCTCTCCTCTCAGGCGCCGGCTTCCGGCTGGGTCTGCGCAGCAACAGCGTCCCCCGGTTGCTAGGGAACCTAAGCGCCGCCGCTTGGTCGCTAAGGGGAAGTTAAGAGGTAGACATCCTGGGTGAAAGTGGACGCATCACGTGATCAGTTCTCGGGGCGGGGAAATCCTACCACACCAACCAGGCTTAGAGAAAACAAACGTTTACCCAATCAGCACTTTCTGTGGGCGGGGATCTTCGTGGATCCACCTCCTCTCCCTGTCCCTATTTAAGTGATTGACTCGTCTTTATCCAATAATACTAAGGATTCTCTAGCTTGACCGATATATGGACGAATCAACACGCAAAGCCTCTCTTTCGGAGGCGGGCCAGGGGAGGTGCCGCTACGCCTGACGGGGACTCCAGCGACCTAGCTCGCTCTCCGGCCAATCGGACGCCGCGGGGTGGGTGGGAGCTTCACTGAGGTAGAGGCGAAGGCCAATCGGATGAGGGCTGTGTAGGCGTTGCCCAATAGAGACGCGACAAGGGGGCGTGGTCAAGGGCCCGGGGCTCGGCGTTCCTGAGGGTGGGGCGGGGGCAAGTGTCAGTCAGGTCGGGACCGCGGCTGGGGACGGCGGAGACCCGGGCGGGCAGACTGGACGCCCCGTCCGCCGCCGCGCTTTCCGTGCAAGATGGAGTTCCTGCTGGGGAATCCGTTCAGCACGCCGGTGGGGCAGTGCCTCGGTAAGGCCCTGGAGCGGCGAGCGGCGAGCGCCGGGGTGGGCGACGGCGGCGGCTGTCGAGGCTGGTGCGGACCGCGCGGGCCGCTACCGGCTGAGGGTCCCCCGCCTCCAGCCCCGCAGCATCTGTTGGCGTCGCGCCTGGGCCGGGCAGCGGGGCCAGCTCACGAGACGGGTCCGGCATCCTGGTCGCCAGGCCTCCGCTGGGCAGCGGGATGCCCTGCCAGGAGGCGCCCCTGGGGCCCAGCTCGTACTCTTGCGAGACTTCCAGCGGCCCTAGCCATCCGGGCCGGCCCTCCCTGTCCCCTCGAGGTGGTGCTACGCTGAGCGCCCGCTTCCACCCTGCCAGCCTCGCGGCCCTGCCCCCCACCCCGCCAGGACCCGCTCACCCGGCCGTCCCGGACGCCTGTCCCTCCCCGTCAGTACCAGCAGCCCTCAGACTGGGCGTCTCCCCAGAAAATGCCCCGGGTTGCAAGACTCGCTCTTGGCGAGGCGACTCAGCCGAGCTGTAGAGGGGGTCGTGGTGGGGCGGGATGCCGGGGGGTGGCGGGGCGCCCTCTTCCACCCTGCCAGCCTCGGGGAGAGAGAGAGAGAGAAAGGGAGAGAGCATTGTGTGTTCAGCATAGTATTGGGCATTACGTTGACTCCAGAGTAGAATAGAAGTCCTCTCCCTGCGGCTGAGTGCTGAACGTTTATTTTGTGCAAGCGTGGGTCAGCCTCAGTGAGAACTCACCCATGTTACTCACTTCTTTCCCCTCCTCACTAAACTGAGAAGGCCCCCGAGAAGTAGTGATGACGTTTAGAATTACCAGGTTGGTGCTAGCAAAACACTTGTTAATTGCTGTCATTAAAGAGCAGATTGGTGACTGTTAGACATGCTAGCATGTCATTTCTTTCTGTAGTGGTGTCTTATTACCCCCAGCCACAGGAAAGTTTGAAGATTTCTGTATATTTTTGATTACTTCATTGATGAAGTAAATTGGAGTGTCTCCAATTTTCATCCTATTAAATAATTATTTTAATAACAAATAATATTTTTGAGATTGCAGATCTTAATACTAATATACCTATGTAAAAATGAATTTTGGTGGACTACACATCTGAATATTAATAAAAATAAGACTTGTATATACATGATTTTCAATTAGAGGACAATGATATATCCATCTCTTAGAGTTACTAATTATTACATGCATAATAATAGCAAGCTTTTTCCACGATCACTAGACTTAATGTATACTTTTTTCCTTTTTAGTCACGATATCATTGGAGAATTTACAACAAACTACCGGGAACATTCTAGAGGGCAGTCCTAATTCAATGTATACGAGGTGAGAAGCATTTTATTTTAATCACTTCCAGTAACTCTATGTCTTAAAAATATGGATTTTGCAAAGGATAAGGATAAGTGCCACAGGTTAACTTAGCAACAATATATGATTTTAAGAATATTTAAATTCCTTTAGCCAACTTGTTTCTTAGACTAAATGATATTATTTCTCTTCAAGTCCCAAGGCCTTTTAAATCTGGAGTGATCTTGAATTTTTGCATGTGAAACTTTAAAAATTAAGTATGGATATGTTAATTTTTTAAGCTTCATCTTTTATATTTTGTCTTCCTACCAACTTGCCCACCAAAACTTCCCTAATAAGAAAAGAGAATGTGCTTCAGTTGTGATCAGTGGCACTGCACAGTGGCCTGTGATCTGCAGAGTGCCTTCGCTCTCTTTCACGTGCAAACTAGAGGGAGTGACAAGGCCATGCACAGTCAATAAGAAATCATGCTGGGGCCTGCAGTGTGGCCCTGGATTGAGCTGCTGCTTGTGACACCTCTGGCGCCCTTATTTGGAATGCCAGTGAAGTCCCTGCTGATCTTCTGATCCACTTCCCTGCTAATGGGCCTGGAATGCAGTAGAGGATGGCTCAAGTACTTGGGCCCACTTCCCATATGGGAGACCAGGATGGAGTTCCTGGCTCCTGGCTTAGGGACGAACTAGTGAAGAGATCTCTTTTTCCGTCTCTTCCTCACTTTGTATGTCTCTGCCTTTGAAATAAATAAATCTTAAAAAAATCCATTTATTAAAGCAAGTCCACAGTAGTTACTTCTGCCTTAAAGCACTCCACTAGTTGATCAGCAAGCATGTGTTGGGACACCTGGCGTAGTTTAGCACTGTTCATCCTTGAGCTGTGGTATTGCTGTGTTCCTATAATTTAATACTTGTGGAGGTCAAAGGAAAATATTATTATTAGTGTTTCGTCAAGAATAATAACCTTTCTCTGCCGAGTGGACATTAAAATTGGCCTCTTTTAAGTTAAAAGTGAAGGAGTCTCCTTCACCTACCACCTTCTTACTGCACTAAGTATTCCACACACTAATTTGTACACTTGTAAAAATTACTAAATGTCTTCCATAGTCCATATTTTGTGTATCCCTCTGGGGATACAAAGATGACTAGAAAATGTCAGTGTGTAATGGGAGAGGCAGACATATGAAGTACAGCTGACATAGGCCCTCTGTAGTGGTGGTCCTAATCCAGTTTAATCTGTTTTCTGACTTCTCCTTGGGAGCCAGGCTTCCTGGCACTGCTTTATCCAGTGCCTCGTTACCTCTTCATAGGTAGTTAGAAATAGAATCCTGACTGTTGTCTCCAGTTTCTCTGCGTGGATCTCTGTGCTGTCGACTGAGTAGACTGTGCTCTGGTTGAAACCTCAGTTGAAGAGCGTCCCAACCCTGCGCACTGATATTTAGGATCTCCTCAACATGGCTCCCGCTCACTATTTCAGACTCATTTTGAATCTGTTTGTCTGTGACCTCTGTTTCAGTCAAACCCTTTCTAGACTGCTGTCTTTGTTCATTTCATTTTTATTGGAACCCTGGTTTACGTTAATAAATTCTGGCTCAAATAGTACTTACTCATAAAGTCTTTCATCTTTCTTTCCCGGTCAAGTGCTGTCCCCATGCTGTGGGTTGAGAAGAGCTGGCAGAGCCTCTTAAGGCACTACTGTATTTTATTAATCCTGTGAGATTGACAGGTGGCACTCTTCTTGTTCCTTGGTGCCTTCAGTTTTGTTCAAATGTAGGAGTGCATTGATACTGCATTGATACTTCTTCACGAAACCAATGGTCAAAAAAATCAGTCTTGTGTCAATAAAATAGACTACCTACTAGGTAGTATGGGCATTCCATGGAAATTACTAACATGATGAAGCAATTGATAGGTTGGTAAACCTCTTAGATATTCACATGTTGGGTGATCTGTTGTATTAGGGTATTTAATTCTAACAAGCTACATTTCTTAGATATGCGTCACTTTAAATTTTCTAGAAAGTAATAATAATTATTGTGGGCCTTGGATGTTAACAACCTGTTCCCAAGAAGCAGATGGTGAAAGATACTCAGTGCATCAGGTGAGTGAGGAGAGTACCTCTGACAAACGAAGCTCTCTTTCCCGAGTCTCCCCAGCAAGTGTGCAGAGAAGCAGTGCCCAGATAACTGGCCAGGAGTCCTCAAAGCATTTGTAAAGCAATACCTGCACCAGACGCCAAGGCAGCCGATTAAACTACCGTCTTCAAAATTACCTAACGGGTTTGAATTGTTTCATCTGTTTTTTTAGGTGGTGAATCCCAAAAAGAAAGGAAAAAAGAAAAAGTATACGAATTCTGGAACAGTAAGTCAATTTTTGTGTTACCCATTAAACATTAAAATTAATGAATAAAGCCCAAGAGGACATTTTAAATCAGGCTGGAAACAAGTAAGACTGGGGCTTTGTTTCACGTAGGATTGCACTGTGAACATGACACAGGAGTCGCCTGCCTAGGGAGTGATCACAGGGGAGCACACCTGCTGGGGCTGGTGGCCTGGCTTCCTGCAGGTCCTCCTGTGGGCTGAGTTCCTGGAGGGAAGCTCGTGTGTTCTTCATTGGAGTCAGAGTACAGAGAATCAGGCAGACATGGAAAAGTTCAAGTCGTATTTAGAAAGACCTGGGGCCGGGGCCATGGCTGTGGTGCCAGCATCCCATATGGGCACCAGGTTCTAGTTCCAGTTGCTCCTCTTCCAGTCTAGCTCTCTGCTGTGGCCTGGGAGGGCAGTGGAGGATGGCCCAAGTACTTGGGCCCTGCACCACATGGGAGACCAGGAAGAAGCGCCTGACTCCTGGCTTCAGATCAGCGTAGCTCTGGCTGTTGCTGCCATTGTGGTGGGGGGTGAACAACAGAAGAAAGACCTTTTTCTCTGTCTCTCTCTCTCTAACTGTCTAACTCTATCTGTCAAATAAAATTTTTTTAAAAAAGGTAGAAAGACTATACCCTTAATGTTGCCCTTAACTGTTAAGTAGATTTATTTTACGGGGTGTGAAGGTGCTTGTTGATAATACGTTAAACATTACAACTGTGGGAATGGATGCTGTGCTAAATCAGTACAGTAGGGTGCAAAGATGAATGTATCTGAAAATTGTGTTAAAAAAAAAGAAATCATCTTATTGAGTAAAAAAAATACTGAAATTTTCCCCCTGAGATTAACTTTCCTTTGGAGAGGCAAATCTGAGTTTTCTCTGCGTTCCTGTGTAAGGATTCCCAAGAGGCAGGACACCCGCAGGGTAGATGATCGTGCACAGAGCCGAGTCAGAAGCGCCGGGTCCCTCCCTCTGCAGGGTGGCTCACTGACTCTGGGTTTTCAGTTTGAACCATTTTCCAGCGCCCTTTCGTCTCCCCTTTGATCTAAAATCAGAAGGAGCACAGTGTCCTCTTAGATAATTTTCAAGCTGTTCTTCAAAGCGAGAAAACTGGTCATAGAAAGGAGTTAATTTTTTTCTTTTCTGGTCCAGTCTCTTCTGCTAATTTTCAACGTAAGAGCAGTCAGTCCTAGCAGATTTAATAAACTATCATGTATTTAGTGCTTTTTCCAAACGCTAGGAAGTAGGGTTTTCTCTGTATCATTTAGGGGAAAAAAGTCCTTTCGGGGTTACAGTTAGTTTTGCTAGAGCTAATTCTGGGTTTCTTTTCCAGGTAACGTTACTCTCCTTCTTGGTAGAAACGGAAGTTTCTTTCCTTGACTACATCAAGGGAGGGTAAGTAATGCTGTGAGATTGTTTGCTTAGGCATTCCTGACGGTGTGTGGCAGGTGCTCCCACGCGGAGCCCAGCCACTGAGCTGAGCTCGCAATGCTGCACCTCTCGCTCTTCTGTTTTAGACTGTGTACATCCCACTGCTGTCATTTGTGGGACAAGCTGCATCTCTAACCAAGAGAAGGGACTTCGTTGTATCATTAATGGTCATAGGTGGAGCTGTTACGTATACTTTCTTGAGTGTTTTTATTTGCCCAACCTGCAGAACCTTGTGTTATCTTTAAAAGGGGTGAAGACTGGAAGGCCTAATAGAATGTGGGTGCTGACTGTAGAATGTGAACGGAATGCAGCATATCACAGGGTGACCTGCAGGAGTGGGGGGAACGGTCACTTGCTGTCCCCCAGGCTTCTGGGCAGGAATGCATTTCAGGAACAGACACTGTGGCCATTCTCAGCACCTTCCAGGACCTATCCTGTGCCGGTAATGCGTTGTGCATTCTTGCACTCAGGCCAACAGGGAGATCTTCCCAGTTTTGTTTCTGTTTTTAATCGGGTTGGTCCTGTGTTAACCTAAGCAAGCACAGGTGGAGACGGAGAATAGGGTTCCTTGTTCCACAGGATCAAACGTCCACTTTCCCCTGTATTTACCACACACAAAAACATTGAGAGGAAGGTGGAGTGTGTGGGGGGAGTTGACGGGGAGTGATAGTTGGAGGCATCACCCAGGTAAACCACTTCTGAATGACAGTTCAGCGGATGGTTTCCCAGGCCACCTCCCTGAGGCATCACCATCAGGCTGAGGAGAGCACCGGGAAGGAGGGGCCAGGAGACCCAGGCCAGTGTCACAGAGGACACAGCTTGGCCTTTCTCGCTCTAATGAGATAAAACAAAGGAACAAATACCAGTACCTGCCTAAACAGGAAGTCCTTGGGCAAGGGAGGGCTTTTGACGGTTTGTGGGCAAATGAAAGGAAAAGATAAGCTTACTTGGGTGCAAGACACCTTGGGAGTCCATGCACCGTTTTGTTCATAATACGCATCTTCATAAGCTTTTTGGACACCCCTTCCCGTGTGGGTATCTTGAACCCCACTCTGAAGCCTCAGGTGCCATCCATAAAGTTAGAGAAGTACTAACTAGAAAAAGGAGTTTGCCAACTCTCCTTCATCCTCCAGCATCTGCATATTTTTAAGATGGGGAAATCAAGAGTTGATTTTGTTATACAAATAGATCTTTTTTTTCTTGTGTCAAAGGCTTAGTAGCCGTAGGAGACAGTTGAAGAGAAGGAAAGGACTATGGATAACCCCAGGCACATGCTTTGTATGCTGAAGGGAGAGGCTCCATGATGAGGCTGTGGTTTGCATGTCAGAGCAACCAAGTCTGAAAGGCTAAGAACGCCCTTCACAATTTGTTCTTTCTTGTCCCTTGTGAGCATGTGAGAGGCATGCGTCTATTAAGAAATTTTCCGTGCGTTTGGTCAGTGGTGTGGATCGAGTTGTAGTTTATTGAGTCTATCAGTAATAGTCGCTTGACTGCGTTACCCCTGAAATCACTGTGAGTTGATCATGTTCCTCTTTTGGAAATCCTTTGTGTTAACCTGGGCGTGTGGGCTTCTGCAGTGCAAGAACGGTGGTGACCTTAACGAATCTTGTCGTCATACATCTCCACTGCTGTCGACCTCGAGGTTCCTGCTCTCGGCTTGCACGCTTCTTCCTCCCAGTGCTGCCTGTGCTGGCGGGAATGCCAATACCTTTTCTGTTACAAGTCAGTGTGTAAGCAGAACCCCAGCTTAGGAAGAACCCTTTGTTCAAATCTGACTTTGAGAATTTTATAAGAACCCATTTTTAAAAAATAGTTATTTGGGGCCGGCACTGTGGCGCAGCAGATTAACGCACTGGCCTGAAGCACTGGCATCCCACATGGGCACCAGTTCAAGACCCGGCTGTTCCACTTCCCACCCAGCTCTTTGCTGTGTCCTGGGAATGCAGTGGAAGATGGCCCAAGTCTTTGAGCCCCTGTACCCCCGTGGGAGACCCGGAAGAAGCTCCTGGCTTCAGATTGGCACAGCTCTGGCTGTTGGAGCCAATTGGGGAGTGAACCATCAAATGGAAGCCCTCTCTCTCTCTCTTTGTTCTTCTCCTCTCTCTGTGTAACTCTGACTTTAAATAAATAAATAAATCTTTAAAAAAATTTAGTTAATTGAAAGGCAGAGTTTCAGAGAGACAAAGATGAAGAGATTGTATATTTGCTTGTTTGCTCTCCTAATGGCCACATGGGCGAGGGCTAGGCCAGGTCATAGCCAGGAGCCTGACACTCTGGGTCTCTCACAAGGGTGCAGGGGCACATAGACTTGAGCCACCTTCCACTGCTTTCCCAGGCACAATAGTAGGGAGCTGAATCAGAGGTGGAGCAACCAGGACTGGAACCAATGCCCGGGTGGTTTGCTGGCATTGCACAGGGCCGCTTAACCCACTCTACCACAATGCCAAGCCCCAGAAACCTATCTTTGATTTGCAAATGTAGTCTAAAGATTTAGGTTAAATTTCACCACATAATCATTCTAACTGGAATTCAGTTAATTTCTATAGAATCAAGTTACCTGCGAAAGATAATGAAAAAGATATATATATATATATATTCTGCAGTATTTTATGTGGAATATTTAATAAATGTGTATATATCTTAAATATATTAGAATTTTACATTTATATATCATTTACCACTATTTATAGTATTTATAACTAAAACACAGAACTTTAAAAAAAATTTTTATTTAGTAAGTACAAATTTCATAAGTACAACTTTGGGAATATAGTGATTGTTCTCACCATACCTGCCTTCCCACCCCCACTTCCACTGCACCTCCTCCTCTCTCTCCCATTCCCAGTCCTATTCTCCATTAAGATTTATTTTCCGTTAACTTTATACACAGAAGACCAATTCTATACTCCGTAAGATTGTAACAATTTGCACACTCACATACACACAATATTTTTAAAAAACTATTTGAGAACAAGTTTTACAGTTAACTCTCCTAATACAACTCAGTGAGGACAGAGGTCCTGCATGAGAAGTTAGTGCACAGTGACTCCTGTTGTCATACACTCTTATGTATGATGTCAGTGACCACCCAAACTCTTGCCATGAGCTGCCATGGCTGTGGAAGGCATTTGAATCCACAGTCCCCATTAGTATCTAGAGAAGGCCATTAGCAAAGTGGAAGTTCTCTCCTCCCGTCAGAGAAAAGTACAACCTTCTTTGATGGCTGATTCTTTCCACAACACAGAGCTCTTAATGTACAGTCCAAATCGCTAGCAGTAATTATTCTTAAATGACTTTATGTGTTTCTGCTCAAAAGGACTTGCTGTAAGTTACTGAGCAGCACAGTTGAAGGTTCTTCAAGGTTAGCTTTTAGTTTTTTTTCACTCTTTTATTTATATAAGGTGAACAGATTTCATGTATTTCATATTTACAGATTCATAGGTGTAGTGATGCTTCCTACTCTGCGCCCCCTCCTGCCAGTGTTCCCACCTTCACTTCTCTTTCCTTTCTTATTCTTTTAATTTTTACTGTGACATACTTTCAGTCTATTTTATAATCTTAAGTTTAACCTTCTACTAAGTAAAGAATTCAGCTAATACAAGGGGAAAAAAAACTGTTCCTCAGTGGTAGAGACCAAGGCTGTAAACAGCAATGGAATCTCAGAATGTCAATTTTGCTCATACATATTATTGTTTTATACTTTATTAGTTACAAGAGATCAGGGAAACTGTTTGTTATTTGTCATATTGGGACTGGCATATTTCCTGAGCATAATAGTTTCCATTTGCATCGATTGTGTTACAAAAAACAGGATTTCATTCTTTTTTATGGGTGGGTAGTATTCCATAGTGTATAGATACTATATTTTAGTTGTCCAGTCATCGGTTGATGAACATCTGGGGTGATTGCATATCTTAGCTATTTGGAGTTGACCTGCAGTAAACAATGAAGTACAGATGAGTCTTTATGTGCTGCTTTCATTTCGTTTGGGTAAATGCCCAGGAGTGAGATGGCTGGGTTGTATGGTAGATCTGTTTTTAACTTTCTGAAGTATCTCCATACTGTCTTCCACAGTGGCTGTACTAGTTTACATTCCCACCAACACTAGATTATGGAACCTTTTATCCCCACACCCTCACCAGCATTTATTGTTTAATGATTTCTTTGTGACAGCCATTCTAACTGGAATGAGGTAAAACCCCGTTGTGGTTTTGATTTGCATTTCCCTGATGGCTAGTGATCCTGAGCATTTTTTGATGTGTCTGTTTGACATTTGAATTTCCTCTTTTGAAAAATGTCTGTTAAAATCCTTTGCCCATTTCTTAACCGCATTGTTTGTTTTGTTGTTGTTGAGTTCCTTGAGCTCTTCATAGGTTCTGGATATGAATTCTTTATCAGTTGCGTAGTTTGCAAATATTTTCTCCCATTCTGTCTCCTTTTGCCTCTTTGCTGAGTGTTTCCTTTGCAGAGCAGAAGATTCTTAGCTTGATGTAATCCCGTGAGTCTGTTTATTTGCTTTGATTGTCTGTGCTTCTCAGGTCTTTTCCAAGAAGTCTTTGCCCATGCTCACGTCTTACAGAATTTCCCCGATGTTCTTCTCTAGAAATTTATGAAATCAGTTCATAGATTTAGATCCTTGACATATTTCGAATTGATTTTGTGTAAGGAGTAAGGTAGGATCTTGTTTCATACTTCTGCACATGGAGTTCCAATTTCCCCAACACTCTTTATTCAAGAAACTGTTCTTTCTCCAGGGCTTCATTTTAGCTCCTTTGTCAAAGATTAGTTAGTTAGAGATGTGTGAATTGATTTCTAGGGCTTGTATTCTTTTTTTTTTATTATTTTTTTGACAGGCAGAGTGGACAGTGAGAGAGAGAGACAGAGAGAAAGGTCTTCCTTTGCCGTTGGTTCACTCTCCAATGGCCACCGCGGCCAGCGCGATGTGGCCGGCGCACCGCGCTGATCCGATGGCAGGAGCCAGGAGCCAGGTGCTTTTCCTGGTCTCCCATGGGGTGCAGGGCCCAAGCACCTGGGCCATCCTCCACTGCACTCCCGGGCCACAGCAGAGGGCTGGCCTGGAAGAGGGGCAACCGGGACAGAATCCGGCGCCCCGACCGGGACTAGAACCCGGTGTGCCGGCGCCGCTAGGCGGAGGATTAGCCTAGTGAGCCGCGGCGCCGGCGGGCTTGTATTCTATTACATTTGTCTGCATGCCTATTTATGTGCCAGTGCCAGGCTCTTTTGATTATTACTACGCTGTAGTATGTCTTGAAATCTGGTATTGCAATACCTCTGAATTTGTGTCTTTTTAAAAATTATTTATTTATTTGAAAGGCAGAGTTACAGAGAGGCAGAGGCGGCGGTGGTGGGAATGGTCTTCCATCTACTGGTTTATACCCCAAAAGGTCACAGTGGCTGGAGCTGTGCTGATCTGAAGCAAGGAGCTTATTTTGGATCTCCCATGTGGGTTTAGGGGCCCAAGGACTTGCACCATCTCCCACTGCTTACCCAGGTTATAGCAGAGAACTGGATTGGAAGTGGAGCAGCCAGGACTTGAGCCAGTGCTCATGGGGGATGTCGGCACTGCATGGTGGTGGCTTCACCTGGTCTTAGCAGGAAGTTACAATCAGGAGTGGAGCCACAGTGTGAACCCAGGCACTGCATTATGGGATGTGGGTGTCTGAGCAATGTCTTAACCATAGCATCACACTCCTACTCCAGCCTTTATTACTTTTATTTGTGGTTGTCCTGTTGCTAGCTTGGGCCCCTCTCCCTATGTGGGAAGCCTGGAGAAAGTTCCTGACTTCAGACCAGCCCCACTCAGGCCTCATTCAATCTGATGCTGGTTGTGGGCTTGTCGTATATTGCCTTGATTGTGTTGAGGAAGTGTTCCTTCTATACCCAGTTTACCTAAGGTATTTTTTTATAATGAAAGGATGTTGTATTTTATCAAATACTTTATTTGCATCTGTTGAGATAATCATAACACTTTGAATCTTCAGTTTCTTAATATGATGTATCCAGGAATCTATCCATTTCTTCTAGGTTGTCCAATTTGTTCATTTATAGCTGTTTGTAATAATTTCTGTTGTTTCATTGTTCTCACATGTGTGTACTTTTTCATTTATTAATGTGGGACTTCTCCCTTTTGTTTGGTTAGTTGGGCCAACCATGTATCAATTTAAAAAAAAACCTCATAATTTCACTGATCTTTTGTGTTTTTCCAAAATTGTTTTCTTCTCTAACTTTATTTCTTTCCTCAACTAATTTTTGTTTTAGTTATTGCTTTTCAAGGTCCTTGGGATGCCTTGGTAGTTCATTTATTTGATGTCTTTATGTAGGCACTAACTGGTATAAACTTCCTACTTGACGCTGTTTTTGCTGTATACCATAAGTTTTGCTATGTTGTGTTGTCATCTTCTTTTGTTTCCAGGAATTTTTTGATTTCCCTTTTGATGTTTTCTGTGACCCACTGGTCATTAAGGATCATGCTGTTCAGTCTCCATGTGTTTACATATTTTGTAGAGATTCTCAGTTGTTAATTTCTGGCTTAATTTCACTGCAGTGGATCTCATCTGTTGTGGGCATGGTGGGGGTATGGTCACACCTGGTGGACCATACCCACAGTCAGCCCACAGTGGGTGCTGCCCTCACCCATGCTGGCGCATGAACCACAGGAAGGGTCTGTGCAGACTCCGTGTGACCACAGAATCCGCGACGACCTGCTCCAGGCAGTCAGAGGGTTCGAGCACCAGACACCAGACACCCAGCTACACTGCACACCCTATCGTGCAGTCCCAGAATTCCCACGGTCACAGTGCGCAAGGCTACCCCAGTCATGGGGTGCAGAGGATCCCTCCTGGCCCCACAAGCCCGCACTGCCCACGGAGAGAGCAGAGATGCTCCCAGAGCCGGGTACCCGTGGGTTCTCGGCCTTGGCCATTTAGCCCCGGGGCCTTGTTCTCAGAAGCTGGTGTCTGCTCCAGCCCCTGGCTGCGGGAGTCGTGTGTGGCATCCCCGCTCACTGTTGCACGTGCACTGTTCCATGCTGCTCCACGGCATCCCTCTTCCTTCTGTAGAATTTCCACTGCAAACTTCTCCCCAACTCCCCCCTGCGAATGCACTCCCTCTGCTTTTCTTCCATCTTCCCCTTGACAGAATCAGCACACCTTTCCCCTGTTCAGCCATCTTGGGCTGCCAAGGTGAGCTTTTCATAAGAGATACACCACCAGAATCACAGTAACTCATCACTTTTGAAAGGCAGAGAGACAGAGACAGCAAGGGAGCCACCCAAAGAGAGATACACAGACAGAGAGAGCCACTATTTACTGGTTCACTCCCTGATGCCTGCAACAGCTGGGGCTGGGCCAAGCTGAAACCAAGAGCCAGTAACTCAATCCAGGTCTCCAGTGTGAGTAGCAGGGACCCACTATCACTGCCACCCAGGGTGCCCATTAGCAGGAAGTTAGAATCAGGAACGAGCCACAGCGTGAACCCAGGCACTGCGTTATGGGACGTGGGTCTCTGAGCAGTGTCCTAACCATAGCACCACACTCCCACTCCAGCCGTTATTACTTTCATTTGTGGGTTGTCCTGTTGCTAGCTTAGGGGACCTCAGTTCAGGGACATCTTCCATGTACCCTCCTAATCTAAGAGAATCTGCTGCTAGGTTATGCTTACCTAGAATCTTCATTGAGAAATAAGCTGAGGTCCTCCAAAGGAGTGAGAAATCCCCATTTAAAATGCAAACACAGCAACTGAATTGATACTCTAGCTAATTCTGGTCCATCGAAAATAAACTTAGCAGGGGATTTCTTGGATTCCTTTTGTTGTACTTTTCGCTACATTAATTTTAAAAACCACTTGTCATAGACTTACTGCCTGGGAGTAGGAGAGTAAGGAAGGGGCAGAGCGGGCAGTTTATAAGGATGATGTAGTGGTCTTCCTTATCAAAATCTGAGAGTAAGTATGCATAAAGAATTCCTTAATTACATTTTAAAAATTTCACATCTCATTTTCATACAAAAACATAGTTGAATCAAACATTATAAAAATTGTTATTTATCCTGCGTCCAAGTAGAAATTACACAGAGTTAAGAATGAACATATGGGGGCCTGTCTTTGGTGTGGCAGGTAAAGCTGCCAACTATAATGCTAGCATACCATATGGATGCCGATTTGGGTCTCAGCTGCTCCACTTCCAATCCTTCTCTGTGCTGATGGCCTGGGAAAGCAGTGGAAGATGGGCCAAGTGCTTGGGACCCTGCACCCATGTGGGAGACCCAGAAGAAGCTCCTGATTTTGTACCAGCCTGTGGGGAGCAACCCGGACTAGACTAAGTTACTGGAATTAAGACTTATTCTATGCATCTGCTCTCCTACAATATGGCGCTGAGAAGGGAGAAACAGCTTCTACGCAGCTGCCTCCAGTTCAACCAATAAACTGTAGGACCTGCTCCTGATTGGAGGAGAGCAGCGTACTCGGCGTGTGGGTAGCAGAGTTGGGATTGGTGGAAGAGGACTATAAAGGAGGAGAGAGACAACATGCACCAGGAACATCTGGGGGGAACATCTGAGGGAACACCTGTGCAGCCCCCGAGAGAGCCGGCCGGCGGTGTGCCACTCTCCTGCGGAAGTGGGGAAAGTGGCTAGGGGGAACTGCCCTTCCATGGAGGTGGAAGGGACGGTAGCCAACCCGGGAAGAACCAGCAGCAAACCCGGGGAGGGCCGAGCAGACCAAAGAACAGCGCAGGGTCCTGTGTCGTTCCTCCACGAAGAGGGGGAGTGACATAATGGTGCCGTGACTCGGATATGAAGCCTAGGCAGGGTTTAGTGTCATTCCTCCACGAAGAGGGGGAGCGACACCAGCCCAGCTCAGGCCATTGTGGCCTTTTGGGGCAGTAAACCAGTGAATGGAAGACCTCTCTCTCTCTCTCTCATTCTTTCTCTCTCTCTCTCTTATTCTAACTCTGCCTTTCAAGTAGATAAATTTCTTAATAGTAAAAAAGAACATATTTAAATACTGAACAACTGTTTTCAAAGCTCTTTCAAATCTCCCTCTTGAAAGGAACTTTTATGCTCAGTTGTTGATATCTGATGTTCTAGTATTCCATTCTATTAGTCATTATCGATGTAGACATTTACTGAAATTATAACCTTGATTGTTTGTGGAACTGTTCGGTTAGCTTGCTGCTGCTTTTCACTCCCTGTCTCAGTCCCTAAGACATTGTATTTGGCTTTCCTAGACAGGTTTCTGGCTGCAGGTACCTGGTGAGCAGCTGAGTGATGCATTCTAAATCAGTCAGGATTCAATTACTATGCAAATATTTTCTAAAATAAAAACCTGACCTTTCTTATTTTCTCTTTTTGCCTTCACAACAGTACTGTGTTTTTCCTGGAGGTTGAGATACATTTTATGACATGAGGTAGTGAAAGGGTTTATTTTCTAAATAGAAGAATCAACTCCATAAAGAAGTTTCATTACAAAGTAATAAAGGCTGATTGTGTCATCTGCGTGATTGACCTTGGGTCATTAGTTTTAGTCATTCTCTGTAGAATCTTTTATTTCTCTTATTAAAATTAATTTCAGATGGCAAAATTTTTGTATTTGATAAAGATGTTTATTACAGTCATCGTGAGTAAGGTCATTATCAGATCCTTTTCCTGCACACAGTGTTCTGAAATCTAAGATCCTTCCTTAGGTAGCGTCATCATTGATTTCCATATTATTACTTGTGAAGTGGGCACCTTTGTGTCTACAGACCCATGGAGCATGTTTTCTGTTCATGACAGCTTGTTCATGACTCTTAGCCGCAGAGGGCAGAATCACATTTGAGTCGGCTCTGTGTGAAGGGCAGTCCCTCTGCTCCTGAGTCGTCACCCAGCTCTGCTCTGCCAGCATCGCCTCTGAGAAAAGATCTGGGAAGGTTTCCACAACCCTTTAACCTGCAGATGAAAGGGGAAACAGGTCACAGATTCTGTTGCACAATGTGTCCCTGCTAAGTTATAAGAATTCACATGAACATGAAATCCTGTTCTGCACTTTTATTAGAACATTGAGTTAATTAGAAGCTCACAGATCTGCACACTGTCATTTTCTTCTCTGAAAAATAATCCCTAACTCTCACCCAGCCAGCCCAACTGGGCCAGACACGATGATACCGTTGTACCCACTGCCTCTTCCCGGGTGTACTTTTTTAATTTGGGAAGCAGAGGGACAGATCTCCCACCTGCGGGTTCATTCCCAGATGCCCACAGTGGTGGGAACTCAATCTGGCCCTCCCGTGAGGGTGGCAGAGACACAACCACTTGAGAGCCATCACCTGCTGCTTCCCAGGCTGTGTGTTAGCAAGAAACTAGAATTGGGACCCAGGACTCGAATCCAGACACTCTGATACGGGAAGCAGACATCGCAACCCTGTGTCTTAACCACTAGGCCCATACATCCACCTCTCCTGGGTGTCATTTTAATTATCCATTTGTAAGACTTCTCTCTTCAAAGTGACATAACTCTTTTTTTTAAATTTTTTGACAGGCAGAGTGGACAGTGAGAGAGAGACAGAGAGAAATGTCTTCCTTTGCCGCTGGCTCACCCTCCAATGGCCGCCGCGGTTGGGGCACTGCGGCTGGCGCACCGCACTGATTGATGGCATGAGCCAGGTACTTATCCTGGTCTCCCATGGGGTGCAGGGCCCAAGCACTTGGGCCATCCTCCACTGCACTCCCTGGCCACAGCAGAGAGCTGGCCTGGAACAGGGGCAACTGGGACAGAATCTGGCACCCTGACCAGGACTAGAACCCGGTGTGCCAGTGCCGCAAGGTGGAGGATTAGCCTAGTGAGCCGCGGCGCCGGCCCAAAGTGACATAACTCTTAAATGTTTTTGTAGTGCTCAACACAGTACAGCCATTGAATAAATATAGACTAAGCAGAGAGCCATTGTTTTAAAGAATTATTTTATTTATTTGAGAGAAAGAGCTACAGAGAGAGGTAGAGCCAGAGAGAGAGAGGTCTTCCATTCTGCTGGTTCACTCCCCAGATGAACACAGTGGCCAGCGCTGAGCCCATCCAGAGCCAGGAGACTCCTCTAGGTCTCCCACACAGGTGGAGGTGTCTAAGGCCTTGGGCCATCTTCCACTGCTCTCCCAGGCCACAGCAAAGAGCCAGATTGGAAGAGTAGCAACTGGGTCTCAAACCAGCACCCATATGAGATGCCAGCACTGTAGGCTGGGGCTTTAACCCACTGCACCACAGTGCCGGCCCCCAGACAGCCATTTTAAGCATTACTTTCCACCTGTTTTCCTTCTGAATCTCTCAGCATAACTGAAACATGAACAAACAGAACTTTATTGAACAGAATGGGACGACTCAGTGAACTGGATTATAAACCCCTATGTTCCGGTCTCAGATTTCATTGACTTGGTGTGGGGAGCAACTCGGACTAGACTGTTATTGGAATTAAGACATTCTATGCATCTGCTCTCCCACAATATGGCGCTGAGAAGGGAGTAACAACTTCTACGCAGCTGCCTCCAGTTCAACCAATAAACTGTAGGACTTGCTCCTGATTGGAGGAGAGCAGCGTACTCGGCATGTGGGTAGCAGAGTTGGGATTGGTGGAAGAGGACTATAAAGGAGGAGAGAGACAACATGCACCAGGAACATCTATCTGAAGGAACACCTGTGCAGCCCACGAGAGAGCTGGCCGGTGGTGTGCCGCTCCCCCGCGGAAGTGGGGAAAGTGGCTAGGGGGAACCGCCCTTCCACGGAGGTGGAAGGGTCGGTAGCCAACCCGGGAAGAACCAGCAGCAAACCCGGGGAGGGCCGAAGAGACGAAAGAACAGCGCAGGGTCCTGTGTCGTTCCTCCACGAAGACGGGGAGCGACAACTTGGAACCTTCCTCTCTCCATGCCTCGCACCGCATCACCAAACAAGACAGGTGCACAGTGCTTTTTTGTGTCCTCTACCAGAAGGAACCCCCCGAACTCTGTGTCATGGTTGGAAGTTACTTGGATGAAAGGCCAGAGGACGGGAAGCAGGAGATTGTCTTCCTTCTCATATGCCTGGGAGAGCAACGAAGATGTCTCAAGTGCTTGGGTCTCTGCCCCCATGTGGGAGATCGGTATGGAGTTTCAGGCTCCTGGCTTTGGCCTGCCCCAGCCTCTGCTGCTGCGGTTGCTTGGAGTGTGAAACAGCAGATGGAAGATATCTCTCTCTCTCTCTCTGTCAGTCTCTCCTCTCTGTCTGTAATTCTGCCTTTCAAATAAATAAAATAAGTCTTCTTGTAAAAACAAGGAAAAAAGAATAAGGCGGGGCCAAAGCTTAGAGTTCCTTCCTGTAGTTGGATTTGGTTTGCAGAATTCCCAGTAGCACTTCCTGCCAAGGTTAGATCATTGGTGGTGCAGTTTGCGGTGGGCAGGTTGAGACCTCAATAGGTGGTGTGAAGTGGGGCAGTCTGCTTGGGGAGGGTCAGACTCTAGCAGTAGCTGGAAACTCTGGTAGACTCAGGAACTTGATAGGCACAGTACAGGCCAGTATTCAGAAAAGTCTGCTGACCTCAGCACCTGACAGGTAGCATTAGTAATAGAGGTAATGGATCTGCTACTCCCTGAAGGCTTCTGGGTGCTAACAATGAGGTGCACACTGGTTAAACAGCTTTCCCGGGGTCACATTACTGGTAGTGTAACTTGCATCTGAGTCTCAAAACCTGCCCTCATTCCATCACATTCCACTTGGTGAGGGGCTTGCTGCCTGGGTGGGGTTCTGGGCTAGGGGAGCAGGAATGTTGAAGGTGCAGTAAGGTGTAGAATCGGATGTCTAGGCTGTCATTCATGTAAAGGAACCACATTTAAGAAAGAGGGAGGAAGTAGGCCAGAAAGGGATTCAGGCTTCAGCCCGTGGTGAGATAAGATCAAGGACAGTGCTGTGTGGCAGGGCCAAGGCCAACTCCAGAACTGGAGTGCATATGGGCACATCAAGGCACAGGTGCAGTCTGGGTGTGACGTGGTAGCAGAGTTGGGTGGGCTTCCCGGCTGCATTTATCGGTACTAGATCCCAGCAAGCGGTGGATCTGAATCTGTGTTTGCCAAGGTCAATTTAAAGAGCGGAGGAAGAAGTCCATCTTTAGGATTCTTAATGTTCAGCTTGTGCAGCTGAACAGGATTTGAAGTTGAACGGAAAGGAAGACAATTCTGTTTTGTTTTTTAAGATTTATTTATTTGAAAGACAGGACTACAGAGAGAGGGAGAGGGAGAGGGAGAGGGAGAACCTTCCGTCTGCTGGTTCACTCCCCAAATGTCCGCAATAGCTGGGGCAGGCCAAAGCCAGGAGCCAGGAGCCTCTTCCTCCTGGTCTCCCTAGTGGGTGCACGGGCCCACGTACTTGGGCCATTTGCCACTGCTTTCCCCAACACATTATCATGGAGCTAGATTGGAAGTGGAGCAGCCAGGGCTCAAATTGGTACCCATATGGGAAGCTAGTACTGCAGACAGTGGCTTACTTCATTGTGCCTCAGTGCTAGCCCCAGTGTAACTGGACTTAAATTAATTTCTATAGCATCAGTTTATCTGAGAAAGATAATGAAAATCTGCTTGTATTGCCTGCATTATTTTATATGAAATATTTTTAAATTTGCTATAAATTTATTTGATTTAAAGGCAGAGTTACAGAGAGAGAGAAAGAGAGAGGGACAGACAGAAAGAGACCTTCCATCTGCTGGTTCACTCCCCGAATGACCACAATAGCTGGGGCTGCACTGGTCCAAAGCCAGGAGCCAGGAGCTTCTTCTGAGTCTCTCCTGCAGGTGCAGGGACACAAGCACATGGGCCATCATCTCCTGCTTTCACAGACATGTTAGCAGGGAACTGGATCAAAAATGCAGCAGCCAGGACTTGAACCAGCACCCATATGAGTTGCTGGCACCACAGGCTGTGGCTTTACCTGCCATTCCACATTACCAGTCCCAAGGGAGATGGTTCTTGTGGACATCTCCATCAGAGTTGTTATTCTTGATAATTAATTCAAAATAACAGATATCTAAGATGGCATTGCTGTGTGTATGTGTGTGTAGTTGTCTTTGATGTATACATATAGAGCTACACTTGTTTGGGTCCCTTTGCCACATTACTTAATGCTGTCTATCTTGAGATTTCGTTTCTCTGTCATTCACATTTTTTTGAAATGTAGCAAAGTAAAATAGGGAGTTTTCCAAGTGTATATTTTAGCATTAGCAGGACATACACATTGGAAGCCTCATGCAATGTTAGTATTAAATTATGCAGTTTAGCAGGCATAACATATATTCTAGAATGTAGTACTGCTGTGTGAGTTTCTTGAAATCCTGCTCTTTTTGTCTGTTTCTAAAACGTAAATTGATAACTAAAGTAACACTTCGTAAGCATAATGTTTTGAGGACTTATATACAATTATTTTATGAATATTCTCTCAGGAGTCATTTATGTGAATTTATATTTTTTTACTTGGACATGATTTATTTTTTCTCTAATATTAGACTTCAAGCACTATTTGGAAATGAAAAAGGGTAACAAGATTATTGATGTTTGGTTTACTTTGGTGACACTGATCATTCATCAGTCTTCAAGAAATGCTTATAGCCTAAAGGAATATTATTGCCAGAATTTTCTTTGAAACTTTAATCAGCAAATATTTTTCTAAGTATATAGAATGTGGTGCTTGGTACTTAAGTATACAGTATGTGAATGGAAAATGTTATGTGTGCTTGAGTTTTAGGTTCTGCTGTTAATTATGAATTCAGTGGCAAAATGCTGTGTTGTATTTGCCATTGTTTTACCAATTGTAAGCTACAGTCAGCAGCTCTGTGAGTTCAAGGAAGATGGGTGCTCCCACTTCAGTGTTTACAGCAGTGACTCAACAGACAGTTGAACTGTGGCTTTCTGCATCCAAAACTGTCAGTGTTGAGGTGGTAGGT